GCTTCTGGCAGAGAAGGCACTTTCAGGTAAGATTTCATGTTAACTTGGAATTATATACAGATTCTTAATTATTTGTCAATTCTCTGGCAAGATAAACTAATGGAATAATTGGATTTAGAATTACATGTAATGTTTCTTTTTGGGGAGGAGTTGATATAACTAATTTTAATTTTGGACTACTGAATAGAACCTTATAAATTACCATACCATAACCTAAATGCTTAGTACATGTGTACCTCCAATCATTTTTCTTCAAGGATGCTTGATTTATCCTCCTGAAAAATGAATGTTCCCCCTTCCTCCTTCAAAATATGGTCCATAACTAGTGCAGTTAAAGTTTTTTTTCTCAGCATAGAGAAGGAAGATGAAGATGGAAAATAAATTAATTTTTATCATGACTTTGAATCAAGATGTTCTTTATGCTGTTTCTTCATCATTCATACATAAGATTTGAGAATTCTAAAGCTTAAAATATTATTTTGAAGTGCCATTATTGTAAATGACTGGTCAAATCTTTGCTCTATGAAAAAAATTAATATACACTGTACATTTGTATATTCCATAGGTAGTGACAATAAAAAACCCTTAGGACTAAATTACTGAGTATTATATTTCTTTGAATAAAGGAAAGAGTCTTTGCTTGAAAAAATAAAATGCCTAAAAGAATTTCTAGTCACAATCCATATAACATGTATCGAGGTGTACTAGTAATAATTTATTATGTGATGATTTTACCAGGTGGTTGTCTGGCCCACAAGACAGCAGTAGCAGCAGGTGCCCTTGTGATGTACCTCAGGTATCTCATCTACCCAGGGCAGTCCGACATGTTCAACAATGAGGCCGTCATCAAATCCAGACTGTCTGCTATTACACCGCTGACTGATAATGAAGATGTCGCCTACGCATTGTCTATGGGCCAGTCCCTTAATGATGTACCTAAAGAAATCGACAAATCACCCTTCAAAAAGAAGGAAAATTCTGTCACCGCAAATCGAACCTTGTTGAAAAAGGATTATAATCAACCAGATGCATTAAATAACAATGTGCTGGCAGCACAGCTTTATGGAAAAAATGACAAAGATGAATATTATTCCAATCAGAAATTAAACGAGGATTATTACGACGATAAGAATGAGTCTCCGGAGTACCCCAAACGAGATCGCAAGTTAAATCCAGACCAGAAAATGGTGCGTTTTGACAATGGTAACCCAGACAAAGATAACTATGCAGACGAGGATTACAAAGACGATGATTACAAAGATGAGGACAAGGAGGAGGAGAAAAACGACGAGAGAGATTACCCGTACTACGACAACAACCAGAGGAAACAGCGAGAAGAGGGGGACAGGATAGAGAGGGAGGATAAAGATCAGTACCTCAACAAACAGGACCGAGGGGAGCCCCCAGTCACTGCCGCGGGGGGAGGGGAGAAACCCCTGGGAAGACCACACGGTCCCTCCCTGGTCTCTGTTTTGTTAGGGTTCACAGTCGTTTTTTGTGTGCTGTTATTCTTTGTTTACCGTTTTATTAGGACAAGGCGAGTACATATACGTTATAACCTTAGATCTCTGATGCGCCTGTAGAGTATCTTAACCTACTTGAATAAGATTAAAGAATGTGATCAGATTAATCAAAAATTAGAATTCAGTTCAATGTTAACATGATACAAATTTGTTGCCAGTATTTGCCATTTATGTTAATATGTATTTATTTATTAATACAGTTATGTAGCAAAGTTTTTTTTCCCCAGGGATATATTTCTGTGAAGATGAGTTAAATTAATCATTATATCCATAATTATTAAGACTATGCCTAAAAGCTTTATGCCAAAAAGTGTGTGTTGAGCAGCATCAAGCTGTAAATTTTTCACTTTTCTTTGTCTTGAAGTTGTTTTGTGCATTGAATGTTTTTTTACTCAATGCAATGGATACATGTATTGAATAGAATATAAAAAAAGTAACAGGGTGTTGTTTATTTTATTTGGAGAAATTTTCTGATATTTGCCAATTTATGGTTCTTTTAAACTTCCTAAATCATTGAACAGGACAATAAATATTGTAATATTGATGTCATTTTAGTATGAAAATCATATAATATTACACTTTTCTTTTAGCATTTGATGTTGAAGGGGAGGGGTACATCAAACCTTCATTATGATTGTGTAAATGAATCTAAAAAAATTCACATTTAAAATTATTTAGTGTTATTTTTGTAACACAGGATGATTCATCTTACATTTAATACAAGCATATATATATTTTTCTTTTAATTTCAACAATATTGTTGTGTTTTCATTATGTCTGTGTGGATGTGTTTCAAATGCTCTGTATCTTTGTATCTTCACTCTAAGTCTTCCATTGTGTGTATCTTACATTTATCTATGTGTTAAAACTTTTAAAAGAAACCATTAAGACATTAGAGTTATGATCCATATAGGCAGCTTACTATATAGCTTTAAAGGTTTTACACAAAAGACTGTCATTCATAATTGGTGCTTATTAAGAATTTTCCATTTTTCTTGTATGCTTATGTGAAGGACTTATTAAAAAATATGTACGTTACCAAATTTAGGTGATAAATTGCAATTATGCAATTTGTTTATCATATGTCTTGGTATCTTGGAAATAAAATATTGTATTTTTATTCTGTAAAAAATTAAAGTCTACCCCCCCCCCCCAAAGTTGAAGCAGGGAGGGGGGGGGTTAGAAAGTCTAGATCTATGAAAATGTATAGAATTTAGAAGTCTCAGTTATCTGAATATTGACAACAGAATTTCTCATTCATCAACCATTCTCACCTAGTTAAGTTATTTTTTACGAGTTGAATGTATTCATTTGTGCCATAATCGAATGCCATATAATTTATTATGTTTCAGTATATTATTTTTATGAATGTATATCTAGTTAGTCTGGGAAGGTAAAGATATAAGGTCATGTATATTGTTTATTGTGACAATGTTCTTGTTAATGTGTATATGTTTGATATTTATATACACACTTGTATGTGCCCAAGGTCTGTATGGTTATAGTATATCTATGATATTGCATGCTGAACTGTCATTTTTTATTTACTTTTATAATCATCATTAATCATAATTATGTACACATATACACACCTTATAGGCTCATACTGTTTGTTAACGACACAAAGAATATATTTTATGTTATATGTCCTGTCAATATTTTGTTTCCTTCATATGTGTTCTTGTTTCTCCACAAAGCGGTGAAAGGTTTATAAAATCGTGTTACCCTGTAATCTCATAAAAACTACAATGAACGAAATCCAGCAATGTGTGGTCATTCTGTAGGACAACCATTTGAGTATTGCATGTTTTAAAATTTTATGATAGAAGTCATACATTGTATTGCACCTGCTATGGAACATCATTTGCTTATGATTAAATTGTACTGGAGGATCAACCATTATTATTTGGTGTTAGTGTGAATGTAGGCCTGCAATGACTACCAAGCAACTAACTTTATATAATTATAAAGCTATGTAAAACCAAATATTTCATACTTTAATCTTAATTTTGTGTACGTATTTTGAGAAATTGTAAACCACAACTTTATTAAATATTTAGGAGTAGTAATAAAATTCATTTAATTATTTTTTTCAAATTATACGTAATATACATGTACACACGATTTGTTTGGGGCATTAAACTGCTGAGTAGCAAATAAATATTTTATTGAGCTCTTATTAAGTATTACTTTTTTTGTTATATTCAAAGTCTTTAAAAAGGGAATAAGTACCGGGGGTACATACTTTTGATTCAATCGAAGCTTATGAATAGTTCATCGCAAATATGAACAACAGGTGTTTATTAACGTTATTTCTTTTTGTCACTGAAATACTAGTAGTTACTTAAAATTCTGCAACAAAAAAATCCGACATCAAAGTTGCAACTCATAATGCTGTAAAGAGCAGAGTTTTAAACATAAGAATTTTTTAGGTTGTACTTGAGCCGATATTTTTATAGGCGTCGAATAATATCTTGATTGCTTCATCTCGTCATCCTTATCCATAAGGAATTTTATGTCAACAGTGCAAATGTGCATATATCCGTGATTCAAGATTGCAATCTCTGAACTCAGTTGTGTAATCTCCGAGTATTTTAATTAAGTCCACCTTGCAAAAGTCTTACTGTAGTATTTGTTCAAGGAATGCATTATTTAAAGGAGCAGATTGGGGAGGCAAAACGAACAACTTATGTCTAGGAAACTTAAAGATGGAACCTTAATTAGGCTTTCGTGACTAGCCATTATATCTACAAGTCTGGTCTTTGAAACTATCAGAATTATTATTATGTCATGTTAGTTAATTATTTTATTTCCATGTTGGTGAATGAACGTCATTATATAAATATTGCATGTAGGTGAGTGTAACATTGAATATTTTCACCCCTCGAAAACCATTGTCAACCTAGGCGCAGCCGAGGTTGACAGTGGTTTTCGAGGGGTGAAAATTTTCAATGTTACACTCAACTACATGCTATATTTATTAAATTATACTGAATGTTTTATACAAATACATATAACAGTGAACCGTGCGCGCATAAATTCCGCGCAGTCGCTGTTTTTTGGAATACCATCCGTCGTCAAGCAATGTTGACTGGGTTTATTCCCCGAATGGCTACTCGGAAAAAACAACATGTAATTATCACACTCAATTAAGGGGCCCTCTAAGGGCTACAGGTAGACTTACCTGTATGAATAATCTACCAGAAATAAAATAAAAGGGATTCTTAATTCAATTTTTTTTTATTTGAGCACTAGTATGAATAAATATTTTGTATACATATTTTTAATTAATTTTTAATTAAAAATTTTACAGGCACAAAACATATTAAAAGCTATAAATTATCTTGAAGTTCTATTGTTTAGCAGCGCTGATTTTCACATTATAAATTAAATAGCACTGTTTCACTTTCATATCATACATATTTACAATATTAACAAGTCATTTAGTCTCCATCTTTCATCACAACTAAGGGATCACTATCCAAGGTGAAGAAGTTCAGAAGCAGAATCTGTGTAGGTCATAAGATCGATGATGCCATGCTGATACCTTTCTTTCAGTAGCTGCAATCTTCTCTTTATAGTTGCATACTTTTTCGCTGGAGGTCTAATGCTTCCGCTGGCTTCCCTCTGAATCTTTTGGATCTCTTTCGTATTCTGTATGTCTTTGAACATCTTCAGCACGACGAAGATGTTGGGATGTGCATGCTGTGCCATTCTTTTGAGTTTTCCATGCCATCCTCGATCGAGGCTGTTGTTGGTCCGTGGTCCCTCCGTTCCGAAATGATTCCACAGAAGTCTGTCACCATTCACCCACTGTTCTGTCACATAGTCTGTAAAGGATTCTGTAGCTTGTGTGAGGTCAGCTTCCTCTCTGTCTTCTAGGGCTCTGAACCAAACGTCTTCAATACAGTCAAGGGGAACAAGGGGAAGAACTGCTGCTCGTCTAACCAAAGTCTTAACGTTGTCGTCATCTTTGTAGGGAATCTGTAGTCCTGACTGTTGAGCTTTTCGCCAAATAGCTTGGGTGAAGTGGAAAAAACAACCCTTGGTTGTTACGCCCGAAAACACTTTTCTGATGGAGTTGTGGACTGCTGTCTCGAAGTCAGCTAGAGCACATGTGGGTAAAAACTGTAGGCCAAGGTTAATTTGGTATTTAAAAGAGTTTGAAAATGTAGCACAAAAAGGGGATAAAAGTTTGTAAATTCTCAATCAATACTATTAAATAGTTTGAAAAAAAAAATTAAATTTAAGGTACAATAAAAAAAATATTTCTCTGAAATCTTAATTTTATCTATTTATATTTATCTATTTATTTATTTATTCAGTATATTTCTGAAAAAAAAAACTCTTAATAGAAATAAAATTGACTGAATATATCTGATTGTTAAAATATTGCTTATCCAGGTAAACACAGGTAAGTCTACCTGTAACCCTTAGAGGGCCCCTTAATTGAGTGTGATAATTACTTGTTATTTTTTATGAGTAGCCATTCGGGGAACACACCGTTGACTGTTGCTACGCTGGAGGGCGTGGCTTCATTATTCAGCGGGTAATAGTGTTTTTTTACCAATTGTTTCTCAACCAATCAGATTCAACTAATTTACATGAAAGTATAATATTGAATAATGATTTGCTGGATACTAGAAATAAAGCTCGGAGGAATGAAAAGAAATTATTTTCATTTTGTACGCTACTATCCGAATTATGTAAAATATATAGCCATTTTTAAATCATGTTTGGTGACTAAAATATACCTTAGAAGATTTAAAGCAAAAGACAGGTCATTTTAAGATATCAGTCGTCTCTCTGCAACCCCCCTCCCCCCTTTCCCCTCCAGTTGTTGGTTAGAGTAACGAGATTGAATCCCTGATACGCAGTGTAAAGCAGCATTCTTTTTAGATTTCATTTATGACACTGGTATTATCTCACTAGTCACTTTTATACAGTTAGTAAAACATGTACTTAAGGGTCTCCACAATGTGTATATGCAAAATAATGTATGATTAAAAAGTTTATTCACATCATAAATATGATAACCTACATGCAATTAATGTTTCGCCAAAGTAGTTTTCACAGCGGCAGCGAGAGAGCAGAACTAGAAAGCGTTACAAAACATTCGACAACAGAAGGAGGAATTGTTACCTTACCAAATGTCAAGTTGTCAGCTCCAATATCGCGTTTGTTGTTTGAGAAGTTTTGTCACATTGTAACAACACGCTCAGGAGAATAATGGCGGGTTGGGGAGCAGCTTCCATACCACTGAAAGTCGCCTTAATCGTTCTTTGTCTTGCTCTCGTGGTCTTTATCATTGGGTTCGCGACCAAAGGATGGGCGGAGACCGAGTATCCCTCGGAGATGGGGGTCATCTCTCGCAGAATTCCTGTCTACGTAGAGCAGGAGCTTGGTCTTTGGAATTTTGAAAATTGCATCAAGGCGCGATATGACTATCGATACAGAGACGAAGATCTCCGAAGGTACGGCAGAAATAGGCTCTTCGTGTGTACTACCAATGACATCGATCTATTTATTAATGGACTTAGATACTGTGCAGGTAACATTTACTAAATACCTAGATTCGTATAAATTTTCTACATTTAATTTTTATTTATGACGATGTTGCGAGGCACGAATAAGCTGTTGCACTATGACATTGCAACGTTTTATCTCGATATTGTTCTATCAGATCCATCGCTATCGCCATCGCACCATCAGCCTTAAGGACATACGCAATGTCAGAGTTTTTAACTTCATGTATTTGTGAACCTATGTCATTGTAGAGTTTGTGTACATGTCCGTTGCGTATGTCCTACAGGTACATAGTGCCGGATTGTCTTTTATGGTGACATGACTGTTTTATTTCCCCGCCGGATTGTCTTTTATGGTGACATGCATGACTGTTTTATTTTCCCGCCGGATTTGTCTTTATGGTGACATGACTGTTTTATTTTCCCGCCGGATTTGTCTGTTATGGTGACATGACTGTTTTATTTTCCCGCCGGATTTGTCTTTTATGGTGACATGATTGTTTTATTTTCCCGCTAGATTTGTCTTTTTATGGTGACATGACTGTTTTATTTTCCCGCCAGATTTGCCTTTTATGGTGACATGATTGTTTTATTTTCCCGCCAGATTTGTCTTTTATTGTGACAGGACTGTTTTATTTTCCCGCCGGATTTGTCTTTTATGGTGACATGACTGTTTTATTTTCCCGCCGGATTTGTCTTTTATGGTGACATGACTATTTTATTTTCCCGCCGGATTTGTCTTTGATGGTGACATGACTGTTTTGTTTTCCCGCCAGATTGGTCTTTTATTGTTACATGTCTGTTTTATTTTCCCGCCAGATTGGTCTTTTATTGTTACATGTCTGTTTTATTTTCCCGCCAGATTTGTCTTTTATGGTGACATGCCTGTTTTATTTTCCCGCCAGATTTGTCTTATTGTGACATGACTATTTTATTTTCCCACAAGATTTGTCTTTATGATGACATGATTGTTTTATTTTCCTGCCAGATTGGTCTTTTTATGGTGACATGACTGTTTTATTTTCCCGCCAGATTTGTCTTTTATGGTGACATGATTGTTTTATTATTCCGCCAGATTTGTCTTTTATGGTGACAGGACTGTTTTATTTTCCCGCCGGATTTGTCTTTTATGGTGACATGATTGTTTTATTATTCCACCAGATTTGTCTTTTATGGTGACAGGACTGTTTTATTTTCCCGCCGGATTTGTCTTTTATGGTGACATGACTGTTTTATTTTCCCGCCAGATTTGTCTTTTATGATGACATGACTGTTTTATTTCTCCTACAGACTGGTACCGGGCTGTGCAGGCGATGGAGTGTCTTGGGCTGATCCTAATGGTAGCGGCCTTAATTCTGCTCTTCCTCTATTTCTTTGTTGATTCCATTAAACAGAAGAAATACTTATATATCATCATTGGATTAACATTCGGCGCAGGTGAGGGACAATTACATGTACTTAGTAATTGCTTAGTTGTCTGTTTTTCAGTTGATAAAATACTTTATATGAAATTATAGTTTAGAAAAGTCTTTGAATTCAACAAGACTGCTGTTAATATGGTAAATCTGCATCACTAATTTAAATAATTTCTTGATAATTACAATGCACATTATGATTCAGTCCGAACTTAAGAATATCACGAAAAAAATTGTAGATATTAAAGCTATATACCTTGACGATGTTTTTATTCTTGTATGATTTCAGTGGTATGCATCGTAATTGGCGTTGCAGTTTACGGGTCTAAAATCAAGGAGATTATTTATGTGTCTTACGTGTACAAACTCGGCTGGTCCTTTGGCCTGGCCGTTGCTGGCGCCATTTTGGCGTTAGTTGCGGGAATCGCAGAAATTATAGAGCTCCGGAAGTGATAGATGTCTGACTTCCGGTCTCCCGGATGGATCTATTCTGTCTCAGCAGTTCTGAGCAGTTTTGAGAAGAGACAGCTTTATACACCAAAGTTTGACGTGTTGCATGCCAATGTCTTGTAAGAAAATTCGATGGACGTTAATATAGAATGACTATATCGCATTTGCTGACAATGAATTATGCTTTCAGAGAGCCTTTGTTTTCTTTCAGAATGCCTTTGTTAATTTAAACATCTATGAGTGTAGTGCTGTATCTAAAGTATGTGTGCATATATTGAAAAATTGTTTTAATTTGTACCCAGAAGTTAAAAGGAAATAAATAATTTTAAAAAATATCGGCCTCATTTTGCTTATCTTTGAATCCATCAAATGCTTGCAGAAATCTCAAGAGATGTAGAGAGCACCTTAATTAAATTTTTGATTTTATTGCTCATTTTATACATTCAGGGATAGTTGCAGAACTGTAGCATCCTGCTGGAGAAAATTCGGACAGATAAAGTATTTTCTGTCCGAATTTTCTCAAGCAGAGCGCCTGACAAATAGATGACTAGGTACAATTTTTCTCTAGCGTCTGTCTCCATCTGCATAGAAATTCCTCCTCCGGAATCAAGATTTTTTTTCACTTGGGGTTCGTCAATTTCGTATTCACAAGAGGAAAATTTGCCGGAAATTAGCAAATCCGTTCTCAGAAGAAGTCATAAATGAATTCGATAAACTACATAAATATTATAAAATATTTAATACAAAGCGTGTAACAAAGTCTTTATAAAGCTCATTTTAGATAACTGTGTTTTAATTTATTCTACACCTGTCTAAGCAATACTTGTAGTTCCCTTCAGAGGATAAAATTCTTCAGAATCACTTTTAGTTCTATACATGTAATACAGTAAATGGAGGTTAATTGTTCCTATACTGGATTTCAAAACCTCATTAGAATCCTACAAAGATAAAGTATTTCACAAAAAAATCTTACGACTAAGATTAATTATTGACAACTCTAATTCTTATACCCCTGCTTCATAAGTGGGAGTGTATACAGTGATTGGGATGTCTGTCCATCCTCCATCTGTAACGCTTTTGGGTGCCCATATTTTATCTGCAACAATCTTATACCGATTAAATGAAATTTAATGAGACTTTCACAGAATCTTTATTACGTAGTGTCAATGTGACCTCCAATTTTAGATATTGATCCGACAAATATTTTGGGTTTCCCATAAAAAACATAGACATTGCCATTTTCTCTAAAATACTGGGGAGTATTAAAGGGTATTAATCTTTTATCCGCAGTTCCTCCTACACTACTGAATGCTAGATCTATGTTCTGTAAGCAATGAGCAAACTAAATTATACCCCAACCTCCCATCAGATTGGCGAAGTCCATGCCATGCTCTGGGAGACCCAAGATAAGTGTCAGATCAAAATGTAAAACAGGTGTACAAAGGTATTATGTAATGAGGAAACTGTGAAAGTATCATTAAATTTTATTCAGTGGTAAAGGAGGAATTGTGGATAATAAAGGGGGTACCCTTCAATATTATAGAAAGAGTAAAAGACAGACGGACATCCCGATCACTATATCCCTTCCACTTTTCAAGCGGGACTATAAAAAATTGATGATACTTTCACAGATTACATATTAATGAAATTGTGCATTTCTTATTTTGCATTTGAGCTGATATTTATTTCGGAACTCCCAGAGCATAACATGGACTTCGCCATTGTAATCATATGGGTATCATTTAGTGAGTTCAGTATTCACATTACCTTTAGATTTTAATTGATCCCGAGAAATGGTCGTAAAAGTGTACAAAGTCGTATGTTCCTTCCAACAAATTTGCTTTGAGTTTTAGGAAATCCACATAACGCCCCGTTTTTAGCAGACCTATTCTTATATTCATATGAAGCAAAATGAACCAAAATTTTATACTGTAAAAGAAGAAAACGCTTGCTGTGGCCTTCAACTCGACCTTTAGAAATATCGACGACGTGTTGTCAAATACCAGTGTTTATTTCCATTCATATGTCGATACGACATACGGTGGGCTTGTGAGAAAAGATAAAACAAAGTCTGATACACCTGTTTCATATTTGAATATTTTACTTGAAAAAGACGTTAATGGTAAACTAGCAGCCAAACTCCATGATAAACGTGACATTAACTTTTCTATCGTCAACTTCCCTTACTTGTGCAGCAGTATACCTTCATCACTTGCATACGGAGTTGATTCGATGCGTAAGAGCATGTCATACGTATGAACAATTTCTAAAGCGATGTAAATTATTGATAAACATGCAAGTTGATGAAACAAGAATATCAGCAGTCTCTTGTAAAGTCATCATTTCGCAAGTTCTATGGTCGATACAATGAATTTGTCAGCAAATACAATTTATATCATGGAGTCAAATGCTGACTATGTTTTTCATCCTGATTGTCGGTAAATATACTGAATTGACGACGGATTTTCCCGTTAATTCCCGATTATGACAAGGAGCACACGGCGGGTGTGACCGGTCGGCAGGGAATGCTTACTCTTCCATGGCACCTGATTCCACCTCTGATGTTTTGGAGATCCGTGTTCTCTGCTCCTATTTTGTATTGTTTTATGGACTTTTGATCTTGAATACCGTTCGTTATCTCCACGTGTTTCACTGAATTGTAGAGGGGTGTTTATATTATTGCAAGGAAATCAACTATTTTTATCGCTGTAATCTGGCGAGCTTTGATAGCAAATTTCTCAACTAACGACAGTAATCTTTTCGAGCTTATTTTCACAGAGAACCAGAACAAACATTATTATATTTAACCATCTCCTTTCCTGCTAAAAAAAACAATTAACCAAATCAAGGTTGAAATTCTGGTAAGCCATTTGTCCTTATACAAATTATTATGAGCCTTTTCAGAGGAATTTCAAAGATTTACGCTAAACATTTCAGCCGTTCCTTGCTCTAACCCTAACCCTATGACTGAGACAACCATTTTAATCCATTTTAATTCAAGTCCCCTTGAGTTTGCTTTATCTAAAACGTTTTGATATGTTTTAATTTAAATAATCGGGCTATATTCGGCAAACTAGAACAACTGAGACTTGTATTGAATTTGTATAGGCCTTAGAACATCTTTCTGCTTACACATGCAGCATAGTCTGACCCATATTCATGAAAATCTCTATAGGCTAAGTCTTATTTTAGGTTTTTAGTTATTCATGACCTTTTTTAGCTGGCTGTTTACAGTTAAATATATCTGATTTTTTTAAGTAAATACTTTTTTAATTTTTTTTTTTTTTGGTCAGAAGTCATCTTCATATTGCCGTCATTTAAAGAATTATGGCGTCATAAGCATGGAGCAAATTATTGCCAGGGGGTTGACGTTTTTAGCAATTTTTTCATAAATAAAAAAAATCCCTGTATACTCTAGCATAGGGAAAAATTATTCATAAAGAAAGGTTAAATAAGCCACGTGCCTGAGATCATTTCGTAACAACTGCTTTGGACCAATGCGTGCAGATTTCCATTTTGATTGAAATTTTGGTGAATTCAGCGATAGTTCGCGAACTTTTTCATCAACTCTCTCATATTGCGTCTCTGCAATTCTTACCTTTTCCGTCGTTAACTGATCACGGTAACGTAAGTAAACATCTGCTGTTTATTTTTAATTGAACTACAAATGGTAAATTGCAAAAGAATATATGAATGGCAAGCGTACGTAGCCATTATTTTCATGAAAAGTCACAGATGTTTCATTTTTGACATCCACACAAGCAAAAACTAATTGTCCGTCCTTTACAAGTTTCTGAGCTAGTGTCCTTGTGACGACACTTCCCAGTTTGAGCCTTCTGTATTCTGGCTCCACGTGTAACATCCCGACCCCGCCATATTCTAGTTGAAATTCCCAAGCAACAGGTCGGCCGTCCTCAGTTTCGATGCAGACTGTAGGTAAATTACGTATCTGATATCGTATCCATTGTCTCAGATCTGCGTATTGTTCAAATTCGTCCCTATAGGGCCATGAGTTGCGTACATTTTCCACGTGAGCTTCCTGTAATTCGGATAACTTGAATCCATCCGGAACTTTGCTGAAATGACAAAATAGTTTAATAAATACTAATGGACTTTTAAGAAATTATGCTATTAGCAAAACAATTTAATTTTTAAAGCCTCAGACAATGTTCTTTGAATTTTGTTATTTTCAGTTTATTTATTAAATCTATAAATATTTCTTACAGAGGAATAATATTATCAGGAGGAAAAGTAAAGACGTATGCACCGTCTTCTCCTCTCTTAATTGGACTGGATTCTGCAGACTTAAATAATTTAATCAAGGAATCTATCACATCTTTCGTGCAGCCTGAAAATGTAAAATATTAAGCATTACTCTCCGTGAAAATCTATAAAATTGACATATTTTCATAAAATTCAGGAGTTGCCTGCGTGGCGCAGTGGTTAGAGCGTCTGTTCCAGAGTCGCGAAGTAAGGAGTTTACCTTTACGTCGTGGGTTCAAATCCCACTGTGGGACGTGGTTACCGGTATTTCGGACGACACCGTATAAACCAAGGTCCCATGTCGCAGTAGGTTTTGGCACGAAAAAGATACCTCAATGCCCAATGGCCGTTAATGCCAGGTATTAGACAAAATTTGCAGCTATCCATTGGCGAGTGGTGGCGCCTCCATTTGAGTGAAACATTTCAGAAAGGGATGTTAAACAACAAGCGAACAAACGTAAAAACTATTTAAATGTTGGGAACAAATATCCCCCGAAGTCCCCTTTTTCGCAAGAAAGAACATTTTCTTTTAATTAGAGAAACAAAATTTCAATAAATACCCAGTATAGCCACTGATTTACATAAAACATTGGTTTTTCCTGTAAGGGAAAGATAATATGCACTGCTTTAGATGTGCAATGCTGACTGATAACGCGGTTTTAAGAGCAAACTGCCTCGCATTTATCAAGTTGAGAAAAAAAGCTACAATAAACAGACAATTATACAGGTGGTTATACATTAAAACGTTGCGTTATTTTTTTTTAAATTATGATTTTTTTCTGTTCAATTTTTTTATATATAAAGGTGATGCTAACACTGTGGAGGCATCAATCAGGTTCTCTAGGGGTTGACAGAAGTTGGAATTTTTACAGAAACTGATTGCCCACACCGAAGTCTCTTTTTTCTGTCAAAACAAAGTGTAGAAATTCATTCAAATGTGGATGACATTGAGGTTCAGCACTGTTCGTTATTTTACATTTTCCATCTTTAAGGCAATAACAACAGCAGAAAATTATGGTGTGCCTGTTTTAATTGTAGCCACAATCAACAATTTAATGATTGTAAGCCTAATATAAATCTATATATGGTTTTTCCTCCAACTAATTGGTGATATTTGCTGATATAGTTAATAACAATATAATATAATTTGGTTTTAATGAAAAGAATTGAATTTATACGTGATTTAATTAATATGTTGACAAAAGATTGTTACAATAAACAGACAATTATATTTCTAAGGTGGTGGGTATACATTAAAACGTTGAATGTTATTTTTTTTTAATTATGATTTTTTTCTGTTTAGTTACCTGCAATGACTAAAGGTGATGCTAACACTGTGGAGGCATGGCGTATCAGGTTCTCTAGGGGTTGACAGAAGTTGGAATCTTTACAGAAACTGATTGCCCACACCGAAGTCTCTTTTTTCTGTCAAAACAAAGTGTAGAAATTCATTCAAATGTAGAGGGACATTAAACTAGGATACCGTATATAGGATCAGACATACCTTGCTATCGACAATAACAACAGCAGAAAATTCTGGCCAGCTGTCCACCAGGACTGTTTTATCAGTCAGTATTCCTCTCCTCAACAATTTTAAGTGATTGTAAGCCTGATAAAAATTATATATGGATAAAATTATTCTCCAACTAATTGGTGATATTTGTGATATAGTTAATAACAATATAATATAATTTGGCTTGAATTGAAAAGAATTGAATTTATAGTCGTATTTAATTAATATATCTGACAAAGTCAAGTTTTTTCCCTTGATAAAAAGAACAAACGAATGAAGTAACAGTAAGCAACAGACATACATACACACAAAGAAACAGGTAAGGCGGTCTCTAATTCCTTCTCTAAGTTGTCATACTCTGTTGTGTCTAACACCCTAATCGCCATTCTATCCATTATTTCAGAACCCATACTGTTGTTCTGGATACAGAATGCAGATGTGGATACCCAGGCTAACGGTAATTCAATTACTGACACCCCACCCCAGGGGATGAGTCAAACATCGGGGTAAATTTAGTATCTATTTGAATGTCTCCCCACATAAATTACTTTTACAAGTGTATGTTTATGAATATATTGTCGATTTTAATACAAGAAAATGCATTTTCTATGCCTTCTTGCAATTTAGGTTATGATATTGCATAAAACCATATAAGTCATTTTATCTGCAAATAAGAAAACATCGTGCTTATATAAATACACCAAGAGAAAGAGTCTTCTTCTTGTATGTAACGGTATTTAAATTCAATTTGAAATAAATAATTGTTGCAATCAACATCTTATATTAATATTTCCATTCGCCTGACAACTCTATTCTTTTAGTGGGGTTAAAATGTAGGGGGTGGGATATTGCAGCTAAAAGTCCCACAATGATTGAATGCTTTGAGTTGAGTTGTCAGATTTATAGGACCAATGTGTACTATATTCCATTTCATCTAAATTTTGATAAATTCAGAGATAGTTTGCGATTTTTTCATCACACCTAGTGTATTGTGTTTCTGCAATGTTGTTCTTTTCTATCGTAAATCGGTCACGGTAGTCCAGTGGTAAAGAATTTGAATCGTGACCGGTGGATAGGTTTAGGAACCTGTTTCCTCTCGGTGCATCAAACCAAACTATGGATAGTGTCTTTGCACTCGCCAAACGCACAGCAGACGTAAAAGTCACGATTCTTTCGGAAAAGACATAAAAACCAAGGTCTTGTTCCATGGTGGAGGTTGGCATGATGAGGAAATCTTTGTGTTCAACCGCCTTGAGTGCCGAGTTCATATCTACATTTGAAGCCCTTCAAATGTGTATTTTGACGTTTCAATATTAGTGCAACATTCCTGAATGGTACATTAAACAAAATAAGGTAAATATCTGTTGTTTGATTATTATTTTAATTACAAATTATAGACTGCAAAAGAATATATCAATGGCAAACGTATGTAGCCATTATTTTCATGAAAAGTCACAGATGTTTCATTTTTAACATCCACACAAGCAAACACTAATTGCCCCTCCTTTACCAGTTTCTCAGCAAGTGTCCTTGTGACAACACTTCCCAGTTTGAGCCTTCTGTATTCTGGCTCGACATGTAACATACCGACCCCGCCATATTCCTGTTGAAACTCCCAAGCAACAGGGCGTCCGTCCTCCGCTTCAACACAGACTGTTGGTAAAGTTTCAATGTGATAACGTATCCATTGTCTCAGGTTTGCGATTTGTTCAAATTCGTCCCTATAGGGCCATGAGTTGCGTATATTTTCAACGTGAGCTTCCTGTAATTCGGATAACTTGAATCCATCCGGAACTTTTCTGAAATAATAATTCTTTTTAATACCTGTGTTATTTTACTAAACAATGTTTGCTAAATGCAAAGCTTATCAATGCTTGAAGCCTTAGACAATGTGCAATAAATATTGTTGTTTTCATTGTATTATAAAATAACTAGGACTATTTCTTACAGAGGAAAAATATTATCTGGAGGAAACGTAAAAACGTATGCATTGTCTTCTCCGCTCTGAATTGGACTGGATTCTGCTGACTTATATAGCTCAATTAAGGAATCTATCACATATTTCGTGCAGCCTGAAAAATAGGAAGATTAATCACAACCCTGTTGATATTAAATCTATAGAAATGATATCTTCTTCATTAAAAAAAACTATGGATTTCTTCTATGACAAAATAATGTTACAATAAACAGACAAGTACATATCTAACGCGGTGTGTATTTATTAAAACAGTAGTAGTTATTATCTATTCAAATTATGATTTTTTTTCTGTTTAGTTACCTGCAATGACTAAAGGGGATGTTAGCAATGTGGAGGCATGGCGTAGCAGGTTTTCTAGGGGTTGACAGAAGTTGGAATCTTTACAGAAACTGATTGCCCACCCCGTAGTCTCCTTTTTCTGTCAAAACAGTAGAAAGTGTAGAAATTCATTCCAATTTAGGGGAACTTTAAACTAGAATACCGTATAAAGGATCAGACATACCTTGCTATCAACAATAACAACAGAAGTAAACTCTGGCCAGGTGTCCACCAGGACTGTTTTGTCAGTCAGTTTCCCTCTTCTCAATAATTTAAGGTGATTGTAAGCCTTGAATTTCAAATAGGTATAATATCATCCTTCTAACCAGGTAGATAATTGGTCCATATTGGAAAGTATGATAATAAAAACAGATTTAATAAGCGTATATTGTATTGCTGAAAGTTGTGTTCAAAAAACGGAAATTAATAGTATAGTGCAGTATATCTGACAAACTGTGTCGATTTCTAAAATTTGCACACGAACGTATTACATGTATGAAATACATCATCTGGTTATTTAAATGGAACATTATCAGTATGATATAGATAGTTATTTATGAAGTTTCGGTAAGTGTTAAAAAAATACATATGAAAGTTAAAGACTGCAAAATGAAACAATAATAAGCATTAGTCTTACATACAATCAAAGAAACAGGTAAGGCAGACTCTAATTCCTTCTCTAACTTGTCATACTCTGTTAGGTCTAACATCCTAACCGCCATCTTGTCCTATTATTTCAGACCCGTGGATACACGAGTACCCAGTTTACCTGTAATTTACGTTCTAATACACATCTCCTTGGCGTACTATGTAGGACTTTTGCGAGTAGCGGTGACTTTCTCAGTTGACAGCTTACTTTCACACTAGAACAAAGTACGGACGCTCTTTTATTATATAAATATTTAGCTCGATTTTTCAATCAACCAACGTAACGGATTATTTCAAATCATAAATCAGTTGTCATTGAAGAAAACCACCCTACCCTCAACTCCCGACCTTCACAGGTTAAAAACATTAGAGGCACTACCTTGCCCCTATCAACATTAGGGGTACTACCTATGACCACTAGAAATATGTTCTTATCTATAGCTATTACTCGTATCAATTCTGTACCTCTGTACATGACACAGGTGTCAATGTCAAGAAAACCATCAACTGTAAAAGTCAGTGCTTCTCGCAAAAGTCCTCTAATATCTTAAAATATCTTCACAAGTGAATCACTGTTGTTGGCAAAGGATCCTCCTGAGAAGGGGAGCGGATCAGAACTACAACGGCTGCTTACATGGGTTATGCATTTTTTCTACAACACCTGCATCATTAATTCTCGAACAAACAACCAAAAAATCAAATTATTGTTTAAATATAGTCTATTACGATTCATATAAAATACTTCTAATGGCAAAAAATATTTTATTTGGTCAAGCATCGTTATCTAACAGAGTTTTGACTATACTGAATCTGACAAAATATGTTGGCCTGCAGCAAAATAATGTATACCTTAGTTAAGTCTTAAATTTACTACCTTTGATGAAACGGGCCCGAAACCCGCATTAAGCAATTTTGCCGGGGGGGGGGGGGGCACAACCAACTATTTTTAGTCTCTGTAGGCATTATAGAATTAATATCAATGAGGAATTCCAGCAATTCATTTTTGATTTTAACTTCAGCTTACTGGGTAGGGATTAGAACAAGAATGATACTTTACAAAATATGTCGAAGTACCATATTAATATTGCTTGATGTGCTCCCTTCTCCTGCTAGGGGTAATGATATGTGCCGCTATCTTCTGCATTCAATGCAATTTGGCTTGATCAGTTGTATTTATACCATAGCATTCAGCAATGGTATACTAGTAGTCGAGACTAGACGTACTATGAGCACAACCTATGGTCATGGAGGCATCCTCCGTAATCATTGGCAGTATGGTTTCAGTGTTCTCAAGTTGGTTGTACCATGCAAGACACACGGATGACATTTGCCTTTGCATACTGAGAGACTTATCAAACCATACTCCGAGGTTCTTTACACTGGTTGTCTGACTAAGGATGCTGTCACTTAAGTTCTAGGTGGTCTTATTCCATGCGAAAGCCACGTCAGATATACCAAAAACCAAGTTCTAGGCGTCTTATAAAAATTATTATGGTCAATATTAGAAACTGCAGGAAAATCTAATACAGTAAAACGTCTCTAAACCGACCAGCTGCCGGAATGAATAAAATGGCCGGACTAGTACAACAATGTTATGATGAAATCTAAATAAAGCTGTTTCAGTAGAGTGACAGGGGCGATATGCTGATATGCTGAAGCTTTCTTGACTCTAAGTGATGATCAATACGTTTACAAACAATGGTTTTTTTTTGTGGGGGGGATTTGGAGGGAAAGGGTGATTTGTCTCGTTACGGTTCTTATCTGGATCTAAACCAGTTTTCTTGATGAGAGGACAAATGGCAGCATGTTTAAAGGATGATAGAACAACAGACTGAATAAAGGATTGGTTTATATAATGTCCGTTACCAAAGTACGAAATCTGAATTTTGTCATGTCTCAATATTAGTGCAAAATTCTAGATTGGGAGTTAAACATCATGAAATAAATATCTGTCTCTCAAATATGGTAAAAGAAAACAAACTACAGATGGTAAATTGCAACAGAATATTTGAATGGCAAGCGTATGTAGCCATTATTTTCATGACCTCTGAAACAATTTCAACCAATTTTGGCGGGGTTTTATAGATTATATAGTGAAAATGAATTATTTCTTTGAAAATCTTCTTTTATGCTCCTGGATGTTAAAAAAACTAAGCAAGCACATACTTTAGTTGAATAAGACTTCCTCTTCAAAAATTGTGAATTTCATCACCCCTGGGTCAGGGGTTCTGGTGAATTTTTTTGAAATTCTTCTTCTCTGCTCTGTTAGCGAATATCGCATACAGAATGTGGTCCTTGACTTAAAGCCCATCGCATATTCGATGATTTGTTTGTAATATTTGCATGGAATTCAAATATATTATTTTCTGGGATATATGTGCGTATGGTCCATCTCTACTTGCTTGTATCAAAACACATTCTTTGTCTCCATCTCTTAATCGCTGTTCAAATATTCGCGTCTTTCGGCCCACGTTGATTATTACGTGATTTATTGTTTTCGGGGTATCAAAAGTAAGGTGCAAAAATCGGATGAAAGCTAATTATAATTTTAAATAAAAGAATTGTACTTGAAATTGTAATTATAGTTACAAATTTTTTTTATCTATACCGCTATAGATTTTTTTGTCAACTTTTAATAAGAATTGTACATGTACATTTTGTCTTTTCGCGAAAGAACTTTTTATATTTTTGTACATGTACAAATTTCATGTACAAAAGACAAAATTTTAGGTCGTGTAATTTTATTTTAGACAGGCTGATATCGGCCATCGTATTTTTCTGTCGTTAACCGTTCAATCTAGCCTTGTGGAACAGCATTGTCATTGTGGTAAGGTCGGGGTACACTGTCCCAGTTCAGCGCAGTGCATCAAACTTAAACATGGATAATGTATTTTTTTCTCCATGCGCCAGGTATAAGAAAAGAAAGTCGCCGTATTTTTGGATAATACGGTAGAGGTTGGATTTTCAAAGAACTTTCACTGCTCGACACGGCCTTGAGTGTTGAGTTAAGATCTAAATTTGAAGCCCTTATTAGGTATATTGTGACGTATCTTTATGAAAGCAACATTGTTAAATAGGACATAAACAGTATAAAATGAACACCTTTCGCTCATTTATTGTCATAATTAAACTACAAATGGTAAACTACAAAAGAATATTTGAATGGCAAGCGTATGTAGCCATTATTTTCATGGAAAATCACAGATGTTTCATTTTTGTCATCTACAGTAACAAAAACCAATTGTCCATCCTTTACCAGTTTCTGAGCTAGTGCCCTTGTGACAACACTTCCCAGTTTGTGCCTTCTGTATTCTGGCTCTACATGTAGCATCCCCATCCCAGCGTATTCATGCTGAACCTCCCAGGCAACAGGACGTCCGTCCTCAGTTTCAATGCAGACTGTTGGTAAATTACTTATGTGATAACGTATCCATTGTCTCAGGTCTGCGTACTGTTCAAATACGTCCCTAAATGGACATGCGTTTCGTACACTTTCCACGTGAGCTTGCTTTAATTCGGTTATTTGGAATCCATTGGAATTTTTCTGAAATGACAAAAAGTTAAGCTAGTGTACCAAAAAAAAAAGGATTAATGTTTTTTATTTCCATTTATTAGGCATCTTGATAGATAGATCCGGGGCGTATATTGTTTTTTGTTCTGTCTGTCTGTTTGTCTGTCTGTTGTCAACTTTAACCTTCGCCATAACTTTTGAACCGTGAGACATCATATTTGGTATGCGTACTCCACTTATTAAGTTTTTTTTAATGACACTAAGATCAATGGCCTTGTAACCTTGACTGTGACCTAAATGCTAAAAATAGCTTTTTCGATCTTTCGCCATAACTTTTGAAGAATAGGAGATAGAGACTTAATATTTGGTATGCATACTCCACTAATTAGGGTGAATTCACCATGCATCGGATACCCTTGTACTTTAATAAGTTCTAGCGATATCGCTACCGACGGAAAATTATCAAAATGGAGTTTAACATTTAGTTTGTGATTAAAATATCAATTTAGGACACAATTATATGCCATTTATTGAGAAAATATCCCCCAAAATCGAGTTTTTAGGAATAACTGAGAATTCACCATGGATCGGACATTGTTTACCATGCATCGGACAGACGGTATTTAGACCGGAAAAAATCATACATTTATCACAGTGCTTTAAAAATCCTTGATATGAATATTTTTTCATCTTTTATGTAAGAAATAAACCTCAATTTCAATTTAATTGACGATATTATTGCACAAATGTAGAATGATTCAAGAAACCGCAATCTGCCTTAGAAATGCTTTTAAATGCTTATAATGCGGTAATTCGCGCCTTTTTCTCATGGTTTATCATACTCGGGTTTGTAGAAATAAACTGAGTCAAATTCCAGACGTCATATATCCATAACTTGTATTTTGACTGAAAATATAGAGTTTTTATTTTCTTTTCCCGCAAAAAACAGCTGTCAGCTGGGTTCTGTATGAAAATGGTAGTGCTTACCTTTGCATCGAAAAGTGTCCGATGCATGGTTAATTTGTGTCCGATGTACAGTGAAATTAGCATACTAGAAAAAACCAGCTCTAATAAGAATTAAACAAACATTGAAGTGAAATTTCTTTATAATTTATGTAAAATTACCGATCCCTGACAAAATTCACCAAAGTCCGACTCGTTCCGTGGAAGTCGAATTTAAAAGAACGATAACTCTAAAAATTGCAAAATCATAAATTTCGGGTTATTCCCCTTTGATGATGTAAAATATGACGTAACTTCAAGGCCATTCTCGGGGTATTTTTATCTCAACATGATAAACACAATAGGTATCATTAAAAAATTTAAACTTCATCATTAAGACAGAAACAAATAAATACACAGAACTTTTTTGCCTAAAGTTGTCCGAAGCAAGGTATGTGTCCGATGCATGGTGAACTCACCCTAAGTTTTTTTCAAATGACACCAAGGACCTTGTGACCTTGACCAATATGCTAAAATTAGCTTTTTCGAACTTTGTTGCCGCCGGGCGCATAGAATTTCACAAACATCTTGTTTTCATTCTTATGTCGATACAATATTTTCCGGTAAGCTTGAAATAATAAATGCCACAAAGCCAGACACATCTGTTCCATATTTGGATATTTTACTAGAAAAAGCATTAATGGTCATCTTACTACAAAGTTTTGTGATGAATTTAACTTTTCAATGGTCAACTTCCCTTTCTTATGAAGCAATATACCTTCGTTACCTGCATACGGGGTTTCTAGTTCCCAGTTGATTTTTAGGCAAGGGCATGCTCTAAGTATGAACAATTTCTAAAGCGAAGTAGATTATTGACGGAGAAATTGCGGAAACATGGATATCAGCAGTCTTGTTTAAAATCATTATTTTGTAAGTGCTATGATCGATACAATGACCTAGTCAACAAATACATTTTATCATTAAGTCAAAAGGGGACAGACGTTTTTTATATTAATGGTAAGACCATTATATACACTCCATCTGAAATTTTCTGATCATGACAATGAGCACATGGCGGGGGGTGCTCACTCCTCCATGGCACGTGATCCCAACTCTATTTTTTTGGAAGTCTATGTTTGCTCTGCTCCAATTTCGAATTATTTAATGGACTTTTGAGCTTGAATATTGTTCGTTATCTCCATACATTCCATTGCTTATAGAAAAACATTAAATGTTTGAAGCCTTAGCCAATGTGCAGTAAATATTGTTACTTTATTTAAACTGTAACTAGTATTATTTCTTACAGAGGGATAATCCTATTAGGAGGAAGTGTAAAGACGTATGCACTTTCGTCTACTCTGTGAATTGGACTGGATTCTGCAGACGTAAATAGGTTAATCAAGGAATCTATCACTTCCTTGGTGCAGCCTGAAAATGAACAGGATATCAAATAACCTGTTAATATTAAGAGGAATCTTTTTATCGACATGAACTAGTTAATCCTGCATGTTAAATGTTGACCATTCGACTGGGAATGTATGAAACATACGGAGATAACTAACAGTTATTCAAGATCAAAAGTCCATAAAACAATACAGGATAGGGGCAGAGCAAACACGGACCTCCAAAACATCACATATCTCCCATGCTCCTGATACCAAATATGGAGTTTTAAGGATCTATGTTTTTGCCCCTTTCATGGGGTGTATTATTTATAAATTTCATTCATTTAAAAGAAATCAACTGGTATTTAATTTTCATGCAATGTCCTGCTATACCGTATAAAAGCCAGTGCCACGAAGGAAAGCTTTCATTCATTAGACAAACTACTCCCATGTAAAAAAAATACTTTCAATTTTTTTTCAGTTTAATTACCAGCAATGATGAAAGGTGATGCTAGCACTGATGAGGCATGGCGCAGCAAGTCTTCTAGGGATTGGCAAAAATCTGAACCTTTACAGAAACCGATTGCCCACGTCATAGTCACCTTTTTCTTAAAAAAAAAGTAGAAATGCCTTCATTCATAGAAAAATTGAAACTCAAATACTAGTATACATTATAAAACATACCTTGCTATCAACAATAACAATAGCAGAAAATTCTGGCCAGCTGTCCACCAGGACTATTTTATCAGTCAGTATTCCTCTCCTCAACAATTTGAAGTGAGTGTAAGCCTTGAAATAACAATATTTCATATACCAACATAAGTTTAAAAGGGTGGTAAAATACAGTATAAGGAATTATAATAGCATATATTGTTTTATTTGTCAGCAAACACAATTTATCATTTTTCATAGTGAATGTCAGGCCATTATTTAACACTGAGTTGGCCGCGAATTTTTCCGGTGTTTTTTCCCGAACATGATAAAGAGCAGGGTGGGACGGGTCAGAAGGGAATGCCCACTTCTCCATGGCATCTGATCCCACCTCTGATGTTTTAGTGATCCGTGTTTGCTCCGCTCCTATTTTGTAATGTATAATGGACTTTTGAGTTTGAAAACTGTTCGTTATCTCGACATAAATATGATTTAAAAATTGCCTTCATTGTCGTTTTCAATGAAGGGAAATTATTAGTATTTCTGACAAAATCAAGATTCATTAAGTGATTAAAAAGAACGCAAGGATACAAAACATTTTAGACTTAAAAATGCAATCTCTACTTATACCATGAGGTGTTGTAGCGAAGCGAACGATAACTCTGGGTAGAGATTGTTAAAAATGAAGAAATAATAAGCAATAGTCATACATACACACAAAGAAACCGGTAAGGCAGCCTCTAATTCCTTCTCTAACTTGTCATACTCTGTTGGATCTAACACCCGAACCGCCATCTCGTCGTATGATTTCAGACCCGTGACTTTTATCCTAGATACAGGAGTACCTAAGCTCCCTGTCATTTACGTTATAATACACAAGTTTATCTTTTAAAAAAGATATGTGAGCTAGGCTTGATGTAAAATGTGGAGGATGGAGTTTCCAAAATGGAGGGTCAGAAAGTGCAAGAGGTGGAGCCTCTTGAGTTAGATGATGCAGGAGGTGGAGCATTGTGCTTGTTGTAAATTTAGCACGTTCTTATTAAATCTGTCATCTCATTTTCCGATATTCATGAGAACTTGTTAGAGTGTTACATTATCCAAACAATTAAAAAATAATTCCTTTGAAGTTGACTGAATGAAACTCAGTTATATTCTCCAACTTTATTTTGTGATGTTCGTTTGACAGTATCTGATGTCATTTGTTTATGAAGTCCATAAAACACAAAATGAGAAAGAAAGAAACAGGAAACAAGTAAAAAATTAATGAGCACCACATAGGGGAACACCTTTTTAAAGATAACAGAGACTGCTGCCGAAGCTGTTCGAAGACACTGTCCGATGTTTGAAATGTGCCGTGATATCATTATTCACTCAGAAATATTATCCCAATAACGTGTATCTACTGCACACAAAAACATTTTAGAAAAATCAAAAATCATTAGTTAATAAATCACTAAATGAACTGATTGTTATATTAGAGAACTCGACCTGACTATTAACTGTTTTTTTTCTCTAAAAAGAATGAGAAACAAGCAACATGATAAAGAAACAACAAAAATGACCTTCAGATATGAGAAACAAATGAGGGACATGCAGCTTGTGCTTTTGATTTAAATTTTGTTACGTGGTATAACAGATGCTCAGTGCAGTAGAAACTGTCTGATTCACACAGCTATCTCGCAGTAACCCATGAGGTCTTGACAGATTTTATTAGTAGAGGTATCAAATATCTGAAGAGCAAAGAGTTAAAAGAGACAGTCCTGTTATTTGAAAGCTTCAAACAGCTATGTTCATTGAAATAAATAAAAATCTGTCGTCCATTGATGAGAAACAGCTCTATCCATCCAAGATTGACATCCCCTTTTTACATTATCTTTCATAAGGTTGTTTCCAGAGTGTCTAAGTGTAGCATTACTTTTATAAGTGTTTTGTTCATGCATGTTTACTGTCTTATGACATCTAGTTAAGAACTGTTTCTACAATGCTGACATTATATACATTAATTTTTGATTCTGCATAAGACTCAGTGCATTGTCTTACTAAAATTTCATTCAAGGAGAATTTAAGGTACTTCAATCCTCATGTGATGTCTTTGGTTTTTTACAAAAAAATTTGATAAACTTAATCCATACCCAGTATAGAAACTTTTTGAAGATAGCTCTTTAGGTGTGATGAAAAATATTCTAAGTAAAAGAATTTTAACAGTATATATTTTTCTTCTTTTAATCTATTATCTATCTTTTAAAAATAATGCTACGGGTTATAACTCTTTCTTGTGTATCTTCATTCAGGCATTTTCTTTATCGTACTTCTAATGTAAAATGTGTTCCCTGATATTCACAATTTGAATATATTTATAAAGATAACTTATAATGGAGCTTTCAACGTCAAAATGATATATTTGAAGCAAATTTTACATTACTTATTTTTAGTATCAAATTTATCAAAAATGCACAATTATTTTAATGCTGTCTGTTTATTTAAGTCTTATATGTTTGAAATATTGCAACATATAAATATTTTGTAATTATTAGTTAATTCAAACCACAGTATATGTGGGTTTTTTTTTTTACAGTGGAGTTTTTAATTGAAATACTGAGTTTAGTTTCATTATATTATACGTATTTTAAAAGATTTTTCTTTGCATTTTAAAGAGACAGCAGAAGAATTGTTTTATTTGCAAATGAGATGTTTCAGGGTTTTAAAATTACTGTCAAAAATGCAAAAAACATTGTATGAACATTAAATAAAAGAAGAAATGTCAGTAAGCTATTTTAGATTTATAAACTAAAGAAAATATTAAATCAACATAGTTAAATTATGTTTTTCATTATTCTAGAAATTGAAAGCAGTGTATCATTATGTTTTTTTTAATTGTCAAAAATAATGCATTGTTATTCATAAAGGTTTATTTCAAGCATTTTTATTCACATGATATGCTAACTGACATAAACATTGAGTATACTATGTATATGTTCATATTTTTTCATTCATATTTTAAACTATCTCACCGTAACATAGTCAGTAAATACATACAAAAGTATTGAAAAATTCAGTAAATACGTGTATTTCTTAACGGAAAACAATAAATACATGTTTTTCCGAAGTGAATAGGAATTTCATGTATTTCCTAAAATTCAGGAAATACATGAAATTTCTGAATACACATTTTTACTGTAACATATGTATACCCTAAAGTAAAAATATAAAGATAAGGAAGAGATGTCAATCTCATAGTTCCATACATGATAATTTCAATTTTCCAATCGTCAAATTCCCTTCCTTATGTGGCAATAAATAAAAAGACTATTTCTTCGCCAAGTGCCCGTCAATAACGTAAAGGTCACGGTTCCTTCGGATGATAAAAACCAAGGTCTCTTTGCCGATATATTGATGCAATCAATGAATCTGTCCTTCAAATATTATCACACTTAAACAATGAAACTATAAATGGTAAACTTCAAAAGAATATTTGAATGGCAATCGTATGAATCCATTATTTTCATGGAAAGTCACTGATGTTTCATTTTTGTCATCTACACAAGCAAAAACCAATAGTCCATCCTTTACCAGTTTCTGAGCTAGTGTCCTTTTGACAACACTTCCCAGTTTGAGCCTTTTGTACTCAGGTTCGACATATAGCATTCCCATCCCAGTGTTTTCATACTGAATCTGCCAGGCAACAGGACGACCGTCTTCCGTTTTAATGCAGACTGTTGGTAAAGTATCAATTTGATAACGCATCCATTGTCTCAAGTCTGCGTATTGTTCATATTCGTCTCTATGGTGCCATGAATTGAGAATATTTTCCACGTGAGTTTGCTGTAATTCAGATAACTTGAATCCATCGGGAATTTTTCTAAAATGACAAAACAGTTAAAACAAACACTAGTTTGCAAAAAAAATATGATGGTTTCTTAAAGCAAAAATATGAAATTTTGAAGCCTTAGACAATGTGTAGTAAATATTGTTATTTATTTAAACTGTTACTAACTAGAATAAATTCTTACAGAGGAAGAATCTCATCAGGAGGAAGTTTATAGACGTAAAAAGCTTTGTCTCCTCTCCGAATTAGACTGGATTCTGCAGATTTAAATAAATTAACCAAGGAATCCACCACTTCTTTCGTGCATCCTGACAAATCATAACCATGTTGATATTAAGTTTATAAAATTGACAGCTGTTCTCATGAAAATAAAAACATTAGACACAAGAACTAAATGTTGACTGACCCTTGGGAATACATATTCCTCCTACGCTCCTGATCCCACCCCTTGTGTTTCGAAGAAAGCATGTTTTCCCTGTCCACAGTTCATATTATTGATAGGATTTAGGATGAACGATTACTGTTGGTTATTATAATATGAGTTTATTATATCTATGAAAATTTACCTGCAGTGGCTAAAGGTGATTCTAGCACTGTGGAAGCATGTCGCAGCAAATTTTCTAGGGATTGGCAAAAAATTTGAATCTTTACAGAAACAGATTGCCCACTACATATTTTTCTTTTCTTAAAAAAAATAAGTAAACATTAATTTTTAGCAACATTGAAACTTGAATATACAACATAAGACATACCTTGCTATTAACAATAACAACAGCAGAAAATTCTGGCCAGCTGTCCACCAGGACTGTTTTATCAGTCAGTATTCCTCTCCTTAACAATTTAAAGTCATTGTAGGCCTTCAAAATAATAATATTTCAAATATTTTGAAAAAATCATCTTTCCAACTATGTACATGTAGTTACATGGGCGGTAATAAAAAAAAAATTGGCTTCATAATATTGTGTTCAATTAATGGATATTATTAGTATAACAGACAAAGTCAAGTTTAATAAGTGATATAAGAATACATAGATACAAGACATATATAGATCATAAAGTAAAACAATAATAAGTAACTATCATACATACACACAAAGAAACAGGTGAGGCGGTCTTCAATTCTCTCTCTAACTTGGCGTACTCTGTTGGGTCTAACACTTGCACCGCCATCTTGTCCTATTAGAACCTAGCCTGTTATACAGAAGAGAGATCTGGATACCTAAGCTTTACGTACTAAAACCCTACTCAAGGGGATGAACCAAACACATTGGATTACGTCTGACATCCTTTTGAATTTCTCCATACATGAAACACTTTTATAAGTACGAGGGTTGTTCGAAAAGTTCGTGGACAACTGTCATATCTTTTTTATTTGACGTCATATGTTATCCAAATTTGGTAGAAATATTTTAACAATAAATCCAAATGATTTGTATTAATTTTTTTCAAAATATTACGATTTATTTAAAACTTATCTAGATTTTAAAAATGCAAAAATCGGATAGCGGAGCAGGTCAAAATTTAGTAAGTTACAAACAAAACACTTAATAATGTCTGAAGTCATATTCTCTGTAAAATGGAGCAAAAACGAAAAACAACCTAGAAATTCAAATTAAGAATTGTTACATCGATTCGTGTAAAAAATTATGGCTTTATATTTTGCTTTGTTGAAAAGCAATCGACTTGGGAAGATAAGTAGTCCTTATTGAAAACGACAAAAACGATGACGTTTTAGAACGTCACGGAGCAGCAGATAACGATGCAGTTTGTGTTTTCCTTGGGAAAAATCCTGAATAAACATTAATAAAGTTGGAGGAATCGAGAAATATGTTACAAGTGAGCTGTGCATGTATGTACAAATACTACAGGCAGTATTTAAGTGACAGAGACTCAGTATCGGATGAGGAAAATCTGTGAAGAAACGGTTTAACTTTTAAAATCTGAACAAAAACTTTGAAAAGTTGGAACGGCAAGAAAAGACATGGGCGCTTCAGAGTTGCTTATCCTGTGAAAGCAGAGTTAAGTAATAAAAGCAATCAAAACCTTAACAAAGGAAATTATACAACGAGAGCAATTCTTAAAAAATAAATTCTTTCAAATATTAGAAAAAGGACTTAATGAATGGACATTGGATTATACTCTGTGAAATGTGTAGGGATAGTATTTTTTAGAAATTCTTGACGCTATGTTTTGACGTTACATTGCCGTTAAGTGTGCTCCGCGGGTACAAAACATGTTGATTTTAAACTGAAGTAAATTAATTTCTGTTAAATCGAATGGAATGAAACTTCACACATCAACAAAACAAATATTTTAACATATTAGATTGTACTTATTTTAAAGAACTATATGCGGTATTAACCAACATTTGCCCCCCAAAATCAAACTTTGATGGAGTAATATTCAATTAAGTCCTTAAACAGGGGAGTATATGCTGACTTCAAAGCACTCAATAATTTCATAAGTAATGACGTCATATGTACGTAATGACGTCACAAATATGACGTAATTTCAGTTTTTTTATGAATTTTGCAGAAAAATGTACATATTTCGTCGATATTTTAAATAAAAGTCACCGAGCGCATGTGTGTTCAGGATAAATATTTTGATATAATGTGTAGAATGAAAATATCAATGAAATATGTCAATGTTGTTCCTGAACACACATGCGCTCTATAAATTTTAAAGCTTAAATTGTTGAAATTTTGTCCATTTTGTCCTCTTTCTGAAAAAGGATATAAAATCGGACTAGTTTGTGACGTCATAAAAACAGAAATTGTGAATACACTGCTCTGGAACTATAATATTTTCTGTTAACTTATATTTCTCGTACAATTTATTGAATTCAGCACATTTCAGGAAGTTTTCAAAATTTGACTTTTGTGGGGGCAAACATATGCAATATACCGCATATAGTTCTTTGTAATGAGTAATATAAAGTAGACTGACATCGTCCACGGACTTTTCCAAACAACCCTCGAATATGTATATGAATATATTATCGTTCCCTAGAAAAGGAAATGCACTTTCTGCCTGGGCCTTTGTAATTAACTTTATGAGATTGCATAAAATCTATACTGTTTAATATTATTATTGCATAATGAGAAAACACTGTGCATGTGATATCAAGGGGAAAGAGCCTACTTCTTGTAAACCCGAATTCTAATATCAATTTGAAATAAATAATCGGGGTCATCAACATCTTTATAAACATTTCAATTCGCCTGACCACTCTATTCTTTCAATGAGGGTTAAATTTTCAGGAAAAATATATCATCCAACTAATAGCCCTACTTTGAGAACTCCATTCCGTGGACAGCGTTAAGAATGCTAGATCAGGAAACTAGGCACTGTTTTTCCATATACTCAGTAGCTGCAACGGCCATATAAATAATGTAGGGAATCTTTCAAGCCCACAATATGCCAGTGTGATTGTTATGGGTCTTTCAACAATGCACAAAGATGTACGAGTAGTCATGGACATCGATCATATAAAAAACCTAATATACATAGTGTATCTTTTGATTCACTTCTGCTTAACACCAATAAACCATTAGGTTTTCATCACATTCCCAATACAATTTATTTAGATAACTTAAAATTTTAAATTGAATATTTGTAGAAGCTATAGCAAATTCACAGAATACAAGCTAATTTTTTATGATTATGGATGTTTCCTAGCACGGGCTCCCGTAACTACCACGTGTGTTGGTAACTAATTCTTCATCATAAAAAGTTCACCATATTTCAAGTTGAAATATACACCCTGAATTTTCTACAGATATTCCCAAACTTTTCAATTATATATAAACCCTACAGTGTTTAGATATTGAACATCTAAAACAACATTCTATTAAGTGTTTTCACACATCATTAGTGGTGATGTTAAGCAACCATTGTAAAAAGGTCCTTAATACAATGGAACACGGATCTTTCAATTGACGACAAAACCTCATTTCGATTATGAATTTTGTCGAAGATGTTACCAAATGTTGTCAAAATATGGAAAGTCCTGAGCACTTTGTCAGAATGGATTAATTGTCCTAGATATATACTAAATTAAGATTGCAATTAGAAAATTAAAATGGAAAATGCGGGCCATCTATCCTTTCCTCTTCACTACATTTGGAGTGATGAAAAAGTTAGAGAAACTCCATGATTAATATGTTATGGTTCCAGCAGACGAGGCTTGTAACCATACCGTATTTTCTTGAAAGGCTGATTATTATATCTGTATTTGGACTTGTGCTAGAAAAAGACGTTTATGGTAACCTATCATAAAAACTTTATGATAATAGTGATGACTTTGTCAGCTTCCCTTACTTGTGTAGATATATACACTTAGCACCTAAATATGGGATGTATGTTTCTCAGTTAATTCGATAGGCATGAACATGTTATACATACGTACAATTTGTCAAACGAGGTAAGCTATTGACAAACAAGTTAATGAAACATGAATATCAACAGCCTTGTTTGAAGTCATCATTTCGCAAGTTTTCTGGTCGATACAATGGCGTTTTAGTAAATCTATCTATCGTTAAGTCAAATACTGACTGATATTTTTTATACGTATTGTTAGGCCAATTGCTACGGATTTTCTGTTTCATCTGATCATGACAAGGAGCACACGGCGGGTTTGAGAGGTTAGCAGGGGGATGTTAACTTCTCCATGGAACCTAATTGCACCTCTGATATCTTAGAGGTTCTGTTCCTGATTTGCATTGATTTGATAGACATTGAGCTTGATTGCTGTTCGTATATTTCACTGATATCAACTTTTACTAGGAGTTTCTTGTTTCCCGTTTAGACTGACGTAGGTGTTAAGTAGACTATAGAAATCGGAGCTTGCAACTATACGCACTCCAATGACATTTGAAAAGTTGATAACATAAATCCTGCAATTTGAGGCCAGAATGAAACGACGCCTCTTCGGTGTCAACTTAAGTTCTACATTTTTCGATATGCTTGATTTCATCTGATTATTCTTTTTTAATGTTACTTTAGTACAAATGAATTCTTTTATATTTAATCATTTGTCAAAACAACATAATAATTTAAAACTGTGGTAAGGACAATAAGCAGTTTTTAAAAAATGAAAGAAAGAAAAGAAACCCCTTTATTGGACCGAGAGAAATTCATTCAATTATTTTTTTCTCCAGTTTTAAAACTTGTATATACACCTTAATGAAAAAGGTAAATATAACGAAGAGTTGTCCTTCTCATAGTTCAATTAAGAAACAAACAACAATATTAAAATGTTCTCTGGGAAATTCATTTCGTTGGTAACATGATCTTATTCTGTATATTAATATATTTGAAGTCAAAAGCGGTGGTTTCGCCTGTTTTAATCTACATAACTTCAAAGGAATTTCGGGTTAAGAAGGTAAGAGCGATTTTAGCCGGGGATAATTATAGTATTCAAAATATTCTACACACCGAAGGAAGATCCATTAAACATCTGTTGGTTGAAAAATATTCATACTTTTCAAATATCTTATTTTTTTCTTTCTATTAACTCAGAATTTCTGTCACAGTGCAACTGTATGGTTTCGGAACTATGTAGCCAAGATATCATTTCGCTCTGTGATTCGGTCATGCTATGACCTTTGACCCCTTAATCAGTTCATACAGCATTGAACATATTTTCTCTTCAATAGGTTCATTTAAGTAAACTGTTTCCAAATGTAATGGGTAGTGACTATTCCTTAGACAAGCGCCGGGCATCAAAAGTGATGATCACGGGTCTTTCGGATGAGACCTTTAAAAATACCAAGGTTCCTTCCCCGATATATTGTGACGTCTCCATATGATTGTGACGTCTCCATATGATTGCAAAATTCTCGAATGGGACATAAAACAAGAAACAATCAGTCAATCAATCTGTCGTTCAAATATTATCACAATAAAACAATTAAATTATAAATGGTAAATTGCAAAAGAATATTTAAATGGCAAGCGTATGAATCCATTATTTTCATGGAAAGTCACAGATGTGTCATTTTTGTCATCCACACAAGCAAAAACTAATTGCCCGTCCTTTACCAGTTTCTCAGCTAGTGTCCTTGTGACGACACTTCCCAGTTTAAGCCTTCTGTATTCTGGCTCGACATGTAACATTCCGACCCCACCATATTCCTGCTGGATCTGCCAGGCAACGGGTCGGCCATCCTCGGTTTCAATGCAGACTGTTGGTAAATTATCTATGTGATAACGTATCCATGGTCGCAAGTCTGCGTATTTTTCATAGTCATCCCTATAGGGCCATGAATTGAGAATATTTTCTAAGTGAACTTGCTGTAATTCGGATAACTTGAATCCATCGGGAATTTTTCTAAAATGACAAAATAGTTTAAACAAACACTAGTTTGCCAAAATGATACGATGATTTCTTATAGCAAAACATATGAATTTCAGAAGCCTTAGGCAATGTGCAGTAAATATTGTTATTTTTATTTAAAACTTCAGCTAACTAGAATTTACACTTACAGAGGAAGAATCCTATCAGCTGGAAGTTTATAGACATAGGCATTCTCGTCTTCATCTCGAATTGGACTGGATTCTGCAGATTTGAATAATTTGACCACGGAATCTATCAATTCCTCGGTGCAGCCTGAAAATTGTAGAGGTTAACCATAACCTTGTTGCTATAAAATTAATAGAAATGACATCTTTTTCATTCAAATAAAAACAGACAGGAGAAATATTGACTGATCCTTGGAAATACATATTCCACCTAGGCTCCTGATCCCACCATAAGTGTTCCCAAGGATCCATGTTATCTGTTCAAAGTTCAGATCATTTATAGGAATTATAAAATCGATCACTGTTAGGTATCTTCACTTTTTCATAAATTTAAAAGGAATCTTCTTTAAAATACTCAAGGGGTAAATATATTACATGCAATGTCCCGTTAAAACAAAAGTTCTGTACTAGTATACTGGTAGATAGTGACGTAAAACACAAGACACCTTAAGAAATGCAAAATATTGAAATAAATGTTATTCTCCTAATGTAGGGGAAGTTTGCTTTCTGATGACAAATTATTTCCATTTTAATGTCTGTTTCCATGACATTTCTAAAGGTGTTATATCGATCCTGTTGTTGCCTTAGCACACAAAAGGGGATGCAATTAGAACAATTCTAAATATATCTCAACAAACAAAATACAAGAATTTAGCCACAGAGTTTTGAACTACATATACATGTATTTCGATCGATGCCAGCATTTTTTGCGAAATATATGGTTGTTATAATATTCTTGTTCACATACACACATCCTCTCATCATCGCATGGTGGTATTGTGACTGAAGTATTTCCCATCAATTGTTAGGCCATATTTTTATACCATTTCGATTACAGACTATTTAATCATCAATTCAGAAAATCGGATGTGACAGGTCGACAGGGATACTTAGTCCTCCGAGGCACCTGGTCCCATCTCGTAAGATTCCAACGGTCTGTGTTATCGTAATGTTCATGAGTTATTTTGTTATTGGATTGATTGATTGATTGTATAGTGTTTAACGTCCCTCTCGAGAATATTTCACTCATATGGAGACGTCACCGTATGCCGGTGAAGGGCTTCAAATTTTAACCTTTACTCGGCACTCAGGGCCATTGAGCAGTGAGGGATCTTTATCGTGCCAACGCCTGCCGCTGACACGGGGCCTCGGTTTTTAATGTCTCATCCGAAGGACCCGCAACTTTCACTTCAAAGTGCCGAGCGCATGGCGAAGGAACAGTTGCTACCCATTTTAACGACTAGGTCAGTCGCGGCCGAGATACGAACTCACGACCTACCGATCACGGAGCAAGCTCTCTACCGACTGAGCTACCGTGAACGGTTTTTTTATTGGACGTATGAGGTAAATTCTGTTCGTTATCTCACATTATACATCTTTATGATTGATAAGACACTGTTATTATGTGTGCCTGATATTGTAACCATGATGAAAATAATTATGTAAGTAAATCAAGTAGAGTTCAAAAGGCTTTTTTGAGCAGTCATTAAAGGGTCGTAACTGTGACCAAAAGAACACGAAACATCGATTTGCATGAAATATGAAAATAACGATCAACATTTAATCTCGAAAGTCCAATACAACAATACAAATTTGGAGCAGAGCAAACACAGACAAAATTAGAAGTGGGATCAGGTGCCATTGAGGATTGAGCATCCCCTGCCGACCGGTCACACCTGCTGTGTGCTACTTGTCAGGATCGTAGACAGTTTAGTGTATAAATAATGGCCAAACTATGATTATGAAAAGTCAGTCAGTATTTGACTCAATGACTGGTTGTATATGCTGACAAGGCCATTGTATCGACCAAAGAACTTTCGAAATGATGACTTCAATCACAATTGTTGATATCTTTGTTTTATCAACTTGTTTGTCAATTATTTGCCTCGTTTTAGAAATAGTTCGCACGTACAGCATGCTCTTGCGTATCAAATCAACTGAGAGATATAAACCCCGCATGCTGGTGATAAGGGTGTATTGCTACACAAGTAAGGGAAGTTGACGTACTTTAAGTAGTTTAAAGTATTTTAAATATGAAGTCATCACGTTTATCAATAAGCTTTGTTGTTAGGTAACCAAAAACGTCTTTTTCTGGTAATATATCTGAACATCTTTTTTAAGAACTTTATAAAATTTCAATCAGATAATTTTAACAATACACCAGTACCTACTTTATATGCCATAAATATTCATAATTATTATATAAACCATATATGACCCTTACCTTGGTTTCTCTGATAGAGGAAAGATTTTATACATTGCTTTAAACGTGCAATGCTAGAAGATAATGTGGTTTTAGGGGGAAATCCTAGATATGGAATTATTTTTATGACAAAACGATGTCACAATAAACATACAAAATTATAAGTCTTACAAGATTAGTACATTATATGCATATGTATATTTTGAAACATTGGAAGTGAATTTTAATGATAATTGTTATGATTTTTTTTCAGTTTATCTACCTGCAGTGGCTAAAGGTGATTCTAGCACTGTGGAGGCATGTCGCAGCAAGTTTTCCAGAGATTGGCAAAAATCTGAATCTTTACAGAAACAGATTGCCCACGCAATTGTCTTCTTTTTCTTAAAGAAAATAAGAATTAATTCAAATGTAGGAAAACTGAAATTCAAATACTACTATAGAGAATACGATATACCTTGCTATTAACAATAACAACAGCAGAAAATTCTGGCCAGGTGTCCACCAGGACTGTTTTATCAGTCAATATTCCTCTCCTCAACAATTTAAAGTGAGTGTAAGCCTTGAAAATAATTTTTAAAATATGTGAAAAATTATGCTACCAACTAAGTAGTTAAATATTAATTGGAGATAGAATAAAATTATAATAACATACAATGTATGTATATATTGTTTTAATTATTTTTTAAAAAATCGGCTTCATGGTCGTGTTCAATTGAAGGATATCATTAGTATATAAGACAAAGTCAAGTTTCAGTAAGTGATATAAGAACACACAGATGCAAAGCATTTACAGACTATAAAATGAAACAATAATAAGCAACTATCATACATACAATTAAAGAAACAGGTAAGGCGGTCTCCAATTCCTTCTCTAACTTTTCATACTCTGTTGGGTCTAACACAAGGACCGCCATTGTGCCCTATTATTTCAGACCCCAGACAGTTATCAAGATGCAGAATACAGATCTGGATACCTAAGCTTTATGTACTAAAAACCTATGACAGGTAACGAACCAAACACATTGGGACACGTTTAATATCTATTTGAATGTCACCGTGTCTGAATCACTTTTACAAGTACTTATATATGTGTATGAATATATTACGGATCCATAGATAAGGAAGTGCATTGTCTCTGAGCCATCTTTGCAATTTACTTTTTGGGATTGTATAAAATTTGTACCGTTCAATACTCATTTTGTCTGCAAATGAGAAAACACCGTGCATATGATATCAAGGGAAAGAGCCTGCTTCTTGCAAAACTGAACTGCCTTTCCATATGATTGCAACGACCACATGAATAGTGTAGGGAATCTTTTAACCCACGATGTGTGTCAATGTGAATATTATGGGTCTTTTTAAAAATACACCAAGACGTATGCTTAGTCATGGACATCGATCATACAATAAACCAAATATACATGATGTCCCTTTCGATTCACCTTTACCTCATTTCAAAAACAATTAAGTATTCATCACATTCGCACTAAACTTATTCGGCTTCTTTCCTTGACATTCTTAAAAGTATTATTTGAAGAAGCTAAAGCAAGTCCATACGCAGATTCTTCAAATGCAGAATGCAAGCTAGTTATTGTGATTGTATATGTGGCCCAGCACAGACTCTTTAAGCCACCAAAAGCTAATTCTGAACCGACTCGTAGATTCCTTAAAAATTGTAAACAAAGAAATAGATGCTGTGAACATTTGTAATATTCTTAATCTGTAATAAAAAAAGTGTTGTAGTCTTGCATTCCATGATATTTCATGTTAAAGTCTACAACCTGCATTTCCTACATATATTTCCACTCTGATGCGTCTAAACTTTTTAATTATAAACGAACCTTACAGTGCCTAGATATTGAACATCTAAAGCCAAATCCGTTTAAGTGTCTTTGTTCTTCTTCTTCTTCTTCTTCATTCCCCTACAATTCTGCTGAACACGTCATTACTGGTGATGTTAATATAGTTAAGTACCAGTCCGCGTAAAACTCAGACAAAAGGTGATTCATAGGGGTTTTCAGAATTCTATGATTTTCCATGATCAATGTATGAAGAATGTTTTGGATCATGGTTTTTATGTAAACCTGTTACGTAAAGTAATTTCCTTAGCAACCAGCCAATTTTTCCATGTGAAGGGACAAAATTATCTTTAAAGCCTGAAATTATATATAAAAACTTTAATAATTATTTTTATATAGTAGTATGATAAAGACACACACTTAAGGTGTTTAAACAACACAAGACACTGATATTTTAATTATTTAAAGGTAGTACTGTGGTAGACATTAAAATATAATTTTATACATGTTTTTGCTTTTTTGCTGACTCAGCATTTTCCTCGTTTTTTTTTTTTTGTTTTTTTTTTTGGCAATATTAAAAGTCAATCTAAAATTAATACCAAGCTAATACAGCTGTTGTGTGTATTTCACACAAAAGAGGAGGACTCCCTCTTTTAGACTCTTACTTCAAAAACGCGGGTTTTTTAACAATCCTATCCGTTGCCTAGCAACAATATAATGCTGGATGATTGATTGATTGTATACTGTTTAACGTCCCTCTCCAGAATATTTCACTGATATGGAGACGTCACCATTGCCGGTGAAGGGCTGCAAATTTAGGCCTATGCTCGGCACTTACGGCCTTTGAGCAGGGAGGGATCTTTATCGTGCCACACCTGCTGTGACACGGGGCCTCGGTTTATACGGTCTCATCCGAAGGACCGCCCCATTTAGTCGCCTTTTACGACAAGCAAGGGGGTACTGAGGACCTATAATGTTGGATGTTTTGATAGAGAAAAAGTGAAAAATGGTAAAGTGTGGAGTCAAAAATCTTATAAACTGTTATCTTTTTAAATGTAGATACAACTTTTCAAGTAATAGAAAATAACTCTCTTTTATTTTAAAAATGAATCAATTGTTCATATTTATTGATCTCCATAGCAACAGCAAACTTTCCATAGCAACAATACAAAAAAGGTTAATTTTGGCATTTTTGTGTAGAGTTATATTGGACACGAGTAGTTAATTTTTCTTTAAAATGCAATTGGGCAGAACTGTCAATTTGATATGAATCTGATAAAGTATTACTGTGTGTTAATTTGATATGGGTCTGATAAACTATTTTTGTTCTTTATTAACCCATGGCAACAAATCTGAACATTTATCACGCAAATATTGTCACACTGTCACAAATGGTAAACTGCAACAGAATATTGGAATGGCAAGTATATGTAGCCATTATTTTCATGGAAAGTCACAGATGTTTCATTTTTGTCATCTACACACGCAAAAACTAATTGTCCGTCCTTTACCAATTTCTGAGCAAGTGTCCTTGTGACGACACTTCCCAGTTTGAGGCTTCTGTATTCTGGCTCGACATGTAGCATCCCCATTCCGCCGAATTCATGCTGAATCTCCCAAGCAACAGGGCGCCCGTCCTCAGTTTCAATGCAGACTGTTGGTAACGTATCAATTTGATAACGTATCCATTGCCTCAAGTCTGCGTATTGTTCAAATGTGTCTCTATAGGGACATGCATTGTATATATTTTCCACGTGAGCTTGTTTTAATTCGCATAACTTGAATCCAACGGGAACTTTTCTGAAATGGCATATTTAAAACAAATACTAGTGTACCAATAAGATACAGTTTGATTATGGCAAAACATGTGAATTTTTTAAGCTTTAGGCAATGTGCAGTAAATATCATTATTTAATTGTTACTAACTAGATCTTATTCTTACATAGGATGAATCCTTTCAGGAGAAAGTTCATAGACGTACGCACTCTCGTCTACACTACGAACTGGACTGGATTCTGCAGACTTAAATAATTCAACCAAGGAATCTATCTTATCTTTAGTGCAGCCTGAAAATGGGGTGGATATCAATAACCCTGTTGTTATTCTATAGAGTTAGAGACGTTTTGCCAAATGTTGACCGGTCGACAGGGAATACCCATCCAACCCCCATCCCTATGCTACTCTGGTGTTTCCGAGGGTCGGTGTTTTTGTCCCCTTCACGATTTGATTTGTTTACAGAAAGAATGAGATTAATTTTCTATCTTCATCTTTTCGTTTGCTTTATTAGAAATTCTTGCTCAAGCAACCAAGCGGTATTCCAGGTCCATGCATTACACCACTATATATATACCATATGCATGTTCTATTTAGTATGCCTGCTATGGTATAATAGTGGTTGAAAAATAACATGGAAAAGTCCCATTTCTTAGATCCTTAAAGTAGTTACGCGATCCTGTTGTTGTTTTATTAGAAGGGATACATTTTACCTATACTGAAAATATGTTAATATATTTTGATAAAAAAAATGACTGTCATGAGAGCAGTTCGGTTCAAATGTCTGTCTGATTTGCAGTCAATAATGGCCATAATTGTCACAAAAAATCTGAATCCATGAAACTGGATGCCAGTTTTTCTTTCCTTGAAAAAATCTGTCAAAAACACACCAGTACCTAACTGGTCTATATTTAACACGAATCTACATGCAGTAACCTATATTTAATAGGGATAAATGATATTCAATGCTTTAGTTACTTTCATTTTACCTACAATGGCTAAAGGTGATGCAAACAATGTAGCAGCATGGCGAAACAATTTTTTAGGGATTGGCAAAAGCCTGAATCTTTACAGAAACTGATTGCCCACGTCATAGTCTTCTTTTTTTGTAAAAAAAAAATGAAAGAATTTCTTTCAAATTTTTGGGAAATTAAATCTATAAAATATTAAATCAAAACACCTACCTTGTTATCAACAATAACAACAGCAGAAAATTCCGGCCAGTTGTCCACCAGGACTGTTTTATCAGTCAGTATTCCTCTCCTCAACAAATTGAAGTGAGTGTAAGCCTTTGAAAGAGCATTCCTTGTAAGTTTAAATTGTCCTTCATATTAAGTATGTAGATAATTGTGTAATAGAAAAGATTAATAGAAATACTACTAGTATATAGATATGTATTGTATTATTGAAAATTGTCTTCATGCTTATGAATAAAATATGACAAAGTCAAGTTTCAGTAAGAGATAAAAAAGAACAGCATGTAGAAAACATTCATATAAATAACCAATAAGCATCAATCATACATACATACAATCAAAGAAACAGGTAAGGCAACCTCTAATTCCTTCTCTAACTTGTCATACTCTGTTGGGTCTAACACTCGTGCCGCCATCTTGTCCTATTATTTCAGAACCTAGATTGTTATACAGGAAACAGAAGACAGATCTGGATACCTAAGCTTTACGTACTAAAACCCTACTCCAGGGGATGAACCAAACACATTGGATTACGTCTGATATCCATTTGAATTTCTCCGTACATGAAACACTTTTATAAGTATATGTATATGAATATATTATCGTTCCCTTGTTAAGGAAATGCATTGTTTTGGCCTTTATAATTTTCTTTATAAGATTGCATTAATCTCTACCGTTTAATACTTTTATTGCATTATAAGAAATCACTGTGCATATGATATCAAGGGGAAGAGCCTACTTCTTGCAAACCCGAATTTTAATTTCAATTTGAAATAAATAATCGGGGCCATCAACATCTTTATTAACATTTCAATTCCACTCTATTCTTTCCATGAGGATTAAAATTTTGGGAAAAATATATCATCCAACTAACAGTCCTACTTTGAGAACTCCATTCCGTAGACAGCGTGAAGAATGCTGGATCAGGAAACTAGGCACTACTTACGGAATAACTGTCTTATTTTGTCTGACAGTTATTCCTTATATTTACATGCTTTGATTCCGCCAATCCACGGGCTCCAAGCCTGCTTCTCTCTAGGTGTTGTCCCGCCTTGCACGTGGTTTTTTTTAACAATGCCAACATTCATGAGGAAATCAATTACATTTACAATTGGTAATTTTATCTCGGACAAAGACATTGGAAATGTAAATATATTTCTATATAGCTGCAACGACCACATAAATAATGTAAGGAATCTTTTAAGCTCGCAATATGCCAGTATCAATGTGATGGGTCTTTTTAACAATGCAAGATGTACGCGTAGTCATGGACGCCGATCATACAATAAATCAAACACACATGATGTTCCTCTGATTCACTTCTGCCTAACATACAAAACAATTAGGTCTTCATCACATTCCCAATGGAATTTATTCAGTTAACTTGAAATTTGAACAAGCTATAGCAAGGTCATACGTAGATCCTTCAATTGCAGAATACAAGCTGTTTTTTTTTTTATAATTATGGATGTTTCCTAGCACAGGCTCCCGTAGCTTCCGTAACAACGCGTGTGTCGGTTACTAATTCTGACCCGACCCGCCGGTTCCATAAACTTGAATTGCAAACAAGAAATGGATGCTATGAACATTTGTAATATTCTTAATCATAAAAAGTTCAGTCTTATATTTCGCCATATTTCAAGTTAAAATATACACCTGCATTATCTACAGATATTCCCAAACCGTTGCTTCCAAACTTTTCAACCCTAAAGTGTTCAGATATTGAACACATAAAACAACATTCTATTAAGTGTTTTCACACATCATTACTGGTGATGTTAAGCAACCATTGTTAAAGGTCCTTAATACAGGGAACACGGATCTTTCAATTGATGACAAAACCTCATTTCGATTATGAATTTTGTCGAAGATGTTACCAAATGTTGTCAACATATGGAAAGTCCTGAGCACTTTGTCAGAATGGATGAATTGTCCTACATATATACTAATTTAAGATTGCTAGTAGAAAATTAAAAGGCAAAATGCGAACCATCTATCCTTCCCTCCTCACTAAATTGGGTGTGATAAAAGTTAGAGATACTCAATGTACAATACGTTATGGTTTCGGCAAACGAGGCTTGTAACAATACTGTATTTTCTTTAAAGAATGATTATTATAACTGAATTTGGACTTGTGCTAGAAAAAGACGTTTATGGCAACCTATCATAAAAGCTTTATGAAAATAGTGACGACTTCAACTTTTCAACTGTCAGCTTTCTTTACCTGTGTAGATATATACACTTATCACCTAAATATGGGATTTTACTTTTCTCAGTTAATTCGATAGGCAGGAACATGTTATACATACGTACACTTTGTCAAACGAGGTAAACTATTGACAAACAAGTTGATGAACCAGAATATCAACAGCCTCGTTTGAAGTCATCATTTCGCAAGTTTTCTGGTCGATACAATGACCTTTAAGCAACTCAATCTATCAATAAGTCAAATACTGACTGACATTTTTTTCAGACTTATTGTTAGGCAAATATTTACATTCTATTTCACCCGATCATGACAAGGGGCACATGGCAGATGTGACTGGTTGGCAGGGGGATGTTAACTTCTCCATGAAACCTAATTGCACCTCTGATATTTTAGAGGTCCATGTTTTTTTAAGTAGACTATAGAAATCGAAGTTTGCAACTATACACAATACAATGACATTTAAAAAGTAGATTAGATAAAACCTGCAATTTGAGGCGAGAATGGAAGAACGCCTCTTCGGGGTCAACTGCAGTTCTACATTTTTCGGTATGCTTGATTTCATCTGACTTTCATTTTTAAGTGTTACTTTAAGACGAATGAATTCTTTTATATTTCATCATTTGTCAAAACAACATCCACGATAAGCAGTTTTTAAAATTTAGTTAAAAAAGGGGGAGATAAAGAAAAAAAATTTTTTTTACACCGAAAGAAATCCATTCAATTATTTTTTTTTCCAAATTTAAAGCTTGTATATACACCTTAATGAAAAAAGGTAAATATGACGAAGATTTGTCCTTCAATTAAGAAATACACAACAATGTTAAAATGTTCTCTGGGAAATGATTTTGGTTGGTCACATGATCAATCCTGTATATTAATATATTTGAAGTCAAAAGTGCTGGTATCGCCTGTTTTAGTTTACATAACTAATAAGGTCTATTAAACATTTGTTAGTTGAAAAATATTCATACGTATCAAATAAATTATCTTTTTTTTCTATTAACTCAGAATTTCTGTCACAGTGCAACTAGTCTCGAACTATGTAGACAAGATATCATTTCGCTCTCTGATTCGGTCATGCTGTGATCTTTGACCCCTCTAATCAGTTCATACAGAATTGAACATATTTCTCTTCAACAGGTTCAACTAACAAAAAATTTTGCAAATGTAAATATTACGTGATAACTTCAATTTGTTCCATCGTCAACTTTCCTTCCTTACATGGGCAGCGACTATTCCTTAGCCAAACACCCGGCATTAAAAGTGATGGTCACTGTTCTTTCGGATGAGACCTTTAATACCGAAGTTCCTTCCCCAATATATTGTGACGTCTCCATATGATTGCAAATTCTCGAGGGGGACATAAAACAACACACAATCAGTAAATCAATCTGTCGTTCAAATATTGTCACAATAAACAATTAAACTATAAATGATAAACTGCAAAAGAATATTTAAATGGCAAGCGTATGTAGCCATTATATTCATGGAAAGTCAAAGATGTGTCATTTTTGTCATCCACACAAGCAAAAACTAATTGTCCATCCTTTACCAGTTTCTCAGCTAGTGTCCTTGTGACGACACTTCCCAGTTTAAGCCTTCTATATTCTGGTTCGACATGTAACATCCCGACTCCGCCATATTCCTGCTGAATCTCCCAGGCAACAGGTCGACCGTCTTCTGTTTCAATGCAGACTGTTGGTAAATTAACTATGTGATAACGTATCCATGGTCCCAAGTCTGCGTATTGTTCATAGTCGTCTCTATGGGGCCAGGAGTTGCGTATATTTTCCAAGTGAGCTTCCTGTAATTCGGATAACTTGAAGCCATCAGGCATTTTTCTAAAATGACAAAACAGTTAAAACAAACACTATAGTTTGCCAAAAAGATACGATGATTTCTTATAGCAAAACATATGAATTTCAGAAGCCTTAGGCAATGTGCACTAAATATTGTTATTTTTATTTAAAACTTCAACTAACTAGAATTTACACTTACAGAGGAAGAATCCTATCAGGTGGAAGTTTATAGACATAGGCATTCTCGTCTTTATCTCGAATTGGACTGGATTCTGCAGATTTGAATAATTTGACCACGGAATCCATCATTTCCTCGGTGCAGCCTGAAAATTGTACAGGTTAACCATAGCCTTCTTGATATTAGATTTAAAGAATTGGCATCTGTTTTCATTTTAAAATAAAAACATTAAACATGAGAACTATATAAATGTCGACTGGTCCTTGGGAATGTATATTCCACCTTGGCTCCTGATTCCAACTTAAGTGTTTCAAAGGATCCATGTTTTTCCCGTTCAAAATTCGTATTATCTATAGGATTTATGAAATCGATCAGTGTTTGTTATCTTGACTTTTTCATTGATTTAAAAAGATTTCTTTTAAAACAGTCAAGGGGTGAATCTACTTTCATGCAATACCCGTTAAAACAAAAGGTCTATATCAGTATACTGGTAGATAGTGACATAAAACACAAGACACTTTGAAGTATTGCAAAATATTCAAATATATGCTATTCTCCTAATGTTGGGAAATTTGCATTCTGATGACAAGTTATTTCCATTTTAATTTATGTTTCCTTGACATTTCTAAAGGTGTTATTCGATTCTGTTGTTGTTTCTAGCAAAACGGAAGGGGTTCAATCAGAAAAATACTAAATATAACTGAACAAAGAAAATACAAGTTTTGGTATTATAAAATTGAAAGAATTTAGCGTCAGGGTTTTGAACTACATGTACATGTATTTCGATCGAGCCATTTCTGTTCGTTATTCTCACATTTTACATTTTTACGATTGATAAGGCACTGTTATTATGTGTGTCTGAAATTGTCAAAAAAAAAATAATAATCATGTGAGCAAATCAGGTAAAGCTCAAAAGGCATTTTTGAGCGGTCATTAAAGGTTCGTAATTGTGATTTAAAGAAACACAAAACATCGATTTGCATGAAATATGAATTATCTCGAAAGTCCAATAAAACTATACAAATTTGGAGCAGAGCAAACACTGACAAAATTATAGGTGAAATCTGGTGCCATTGAGGATTGAGCATTCCCTGCCGACCGGTCACACCCGCCGTGTGCTCCTTTTCAGGATCGGCAAAAAACAGTTTATTGTATAAATAATGGCCAAACTATGATTTTGAAAATTCAGTCAGTATTTGACTCAATGATAGGTTGTATACGCTGACAAGGTCATTGTATCGACCAAAGAATTTTGGAAATAATGACTTCAAACAAAATTGTTGATATTTTTGTTTTATCAACTTGTTTGTCAATAACTTGCATTGTTTTAGAAAATGTTCGTACGTACAGCATGCTCTTTCGTATCGAATCAACTGAGAGCATGCTGGTGATAAGGGTATATTGCTACACAAGTAAGGGAAGTTGAAGTACATGTATTTAAAAGATGAAGTCTCACGTTTATCATTAGGCTTTGTTGTTAGGTTACCAATAACGTCTTTTTCTAGTAATAAATCTGAACATCTTTTTTATAAAGTGCTTTATAAAATTTCAATCAAATAATTTTAACAATACATCCGTACCTATTTTATATGCCATAAACATTCCTATAAAAACCGCATAGCATCACCATTCACACTTTGGTTAACTATCAATTGCAAAATCGGCTAAAAATTCAGTTATATAAAAGTAATTATATGAATTGCTTTCATTACTTGCGAAAAAAAGTTGCTTTAAAAAGATAATGTGGTTTATGATGTGGGGCAATGAAAACCACCCTATATATGGAATTATTTCTTTGACAAAATGATGTCACTTTAAATACAAACAAATATAAGCCTGACATGATTAGTATATTTTAAAACACTAAAAGTGAAATTCAATGAAATTTGTTATGACATTTTTTCAGTTTATTTACCTGCAGTGGCTAAAGGTGATTCTAGCACTGTGGAGGCATGTCGCAGCAAGTTTTCCAAAGATTGACAAAAATCTGAATCTTTACAGAAACTGATTGCCCACGCTATTGTTTTCTTTTTCTTTAAAAAAATAAAAGTCAATTCAAATGTAGGAAAATTGAAACTCAAATACTAGTATACATTATAAAACATACCTTGCTATCAACAATAACAACAGCAGAAAATTCTGGCCAGTTGTCTACCAGGACTGTTTTATCAGTCAGTATTCCTCTCCTCAACAATTTGAAGTGAGTGTAGGCCTTGAAAATAATAATATTTCCAATCTGTGTAAAATTATCCTTCCAATTAAAAAGTTAAATTTGTAATAGAATAGAATAATAATAATACCATATATTGTTTTAATTATTTTGAAAAAAATCGGATTCATGGTTGTATTCAATTAACAGATATTATTCGTATATCAGACAATGTCAAGTTTCAAAACAGAACACACAGATACAGGACATTTATAGACTCTCAGTGAAACAATAATAAGCAACTACCACACATACAATCAAAGAAACTGGTAAGGCGGTCTCCAATTCCTTCTCTAACTTGTCATACTCTGTTGGGTCTAACACTCGTACCGCCATATTGTCCTATGAGAACCTAAGATTTACGTACTAAAACCCTACTCTAGGGGATGAACCAAACACATTGGATTACGATTGATATCCATTTGAATGTCTCCGTACATCAATCACGTATAAGTATATGAATATTTTTTCGTTCCCTAGATAAGGAAATGCATGAATCACTTTTACAAGTACTTAAAATGTGTATGATTAGGAAGCGCAGTCTATGTTCCTTCCTTCCAGTTTACTTTATGAGATTGTCTAATAGTCATTTTATTTACAAATGAGAAAACATCGTGCACATGATATCAAGGGAAAGAGACTTCTTCTTGCAAAACTGAATTTTGATATCAATTCAAAATAATCGAGTACAGCAACATCTTTCTAAACATTTCATTTTCCTGACCACTCTATTCTTTCAAAAAAGGTTAGCATTTTGAAAAAAAAATATCATCCAACTAACATTTCTTCTTTGAGTACGTAGTTACTCCAATCCATCTTGAATATTGCTAGTTCAGGAAACTATAGGCGCTTCCTTTCCATATGATTATTTCATATGATTGCAATCCATATGATTGCAACAACTACATGAATAGTGTACGGAATCAATAAAGCCCACAATGTGTGCCAAAGGGAATATAATGGGTCTTTTTGAAAAATGCACCAAGACGTATGCTTAGTCATGGGCATCGATCATACAATAAACCAACTATGCACGGTGTCTCTTTTGATTCACCTCTATATCATTTTAATAAACAATTCAGTATTTATTACATTCGCTCTAAACTTTATTTGGCTTCCATGACATTTTTAAAAGGTTCATTTAAAGCATCTAAAACAAGTCCATACATAGATTCTTCAAATGCAGAATGCAAGATAGTTATTGTGATTATATATATGGCCCAGCACAGACACTTTAAGCTACCGCAAATGTCAAAAGATAATTCTGAATCCACTCGTGGGTTCCTAATGCTTAGAAAGTAAACAAAGAAATAGATGATGTGAACATTTGTAATATTTTTAATCATAAAAAAAGTTAAGTAGTCTTGCATTCCATGATATTTCAAGTTAAAGTCTGCTACCTGCATTTCCTATTAATATTTCCACTCGATAGACAGGTATTTCCGGTTTTTAAAGGATGTACTGAACATGTAACATGTATTGGTCCATGAAAAGTTATTTCAGTATATGGGGATGGGCACAACTGGAAAAAATCCTTTTAAACAAATTTAGTAGCTCCCATCCCCCCACACACCTTTTCTTAATTTTAACATGAATGTAATTATATAGTAAGCAAAAAAAAATATTCATGAATGTAACACTTTTCAGTCGAATCGTACGGATATTTTTGTTATATTGGTAGGACATCATTGAACACCAGCAATCAGATTTTTGGGGGATCAATTATGGGAACTACCTAGACTTGCTCCAAAGGACTATTTTTTTTTTAATTCTTGTTCCTTTCGGTACATTGCTTTGTTGTTCCGGGCACAATAGCCTAGTGGCAGAGGGATTGCTGCGTGATCGAGAGGTAGACCTAAGACATAAGGTCACGGGTGTTTTTGACGAGACTTTATAAATTGAAGTCGCAGTAGGAGTTAGCATGATAAAAAATCTTCACAGCTGAATGTTCCCGAGTGCCGAGTTTTTCGGTACAATGTATATTGTGACGTTTCTCTATGAATGCAAAATTCTCGATTATGAAAAAGAATACATACAATCAATCAAATATTGTCACAATTAAAACATTGTCACAAATGATATACTGCGACAGAATACATTAATGGCATGCGTGTGTAGCCATTATTTTCATGGAAATTCACAGATGTTTCATTTTTGTCATCCACACAAGCAAAAACTAATTGTCCGTCCTTTACCAGTTTCTGAGCAAGTGTCCTTGTGACGACACTTCCCAGTTTGAGCCTTCTGTATTCTGGCTCCACGTTTAACATTCCCAACCTGCCATATTCATGCTGAACCTCCCAGGCAACAGGTCTACCGTCCTCAGTTTCAATACAGACTGTTGGTAAAGTATCAATGTGATAACGTATCCATTGCCTCAGGTCTGCGATTTGTTCATATCTGTCCCTATGGGGACATGCATTGTATACATTTTCCACGTGAGCTTGCTTTAATTCGGATAACTTGAATCCAGCGGGAACTTTTCTGAAATGTTATAATAGTTCAAACAAAACTGGTGTACCAATAAGATACAAACGTGAATTTTTGAAGCCTTAGGCAATGTGCAGTAAATATCATTATTTTATTTAATTGTTACTAACTAGAACTTATTCTAACTCAACCAAGGAATCTATCTCATCTTTACTTAGTGTGTCCTGAAATTGGGGTGGATATCAATAACCCTATTGTTATTCTATAGATTGGAATACATGCTTCTTCAAGGCACCTGAACCCACATCTGATGTTTCCAGGAATCGCACCATTCACTATTCGTTTTCTTAACCTGATTAAAAAGGTATATCACTGTTCGCTATTTCACCTTCTACATCCTTAGGTTACTAGTAACTTTGATCAGATACTTTAGTTATGGTTTACCCGATAATGTAGCCCTGATAAAAAAATATTGTCATAAGAGCTAATTCAGTTCGGATCAAAATGTCTTTTTGATTTGCAGTCAATAATGGCAACAATTTTGTAACAAAAAAATCTGCATCCATGAAACTTGAATCCAGTCTTTTTTTTTTTTTCTTTTTTTTTTGTCTTAAAAAAATTCTTTAAAAAACACACCAGTACCTACTTGGTATAAGATAAATCAACATGCCGTAATCCCCATCTTAAACGTAACCTAGATTTTTATAGGGATAAATGATATGCTACAGTTACTTTCATTTTACCTACAATGGCTAAAGGTGATGCTAACAATGTTGCAGAATGGCGAAGCAAGTTTTCTAGGGATTGGCAAAAATCAGAACCTTTACAGAAACTGATTGCCCACGTCATAGTCTTCTTTTTCTGTAAAAAAAAAAAATACTAGTAAATAGAATTTCTTTCAATTTATTTTTTTTTGGGGGGGGGAGGGGGGGTTAAATCTATAAAATATTAAACCAAAATACCTACCGTGCTATCAACAATAACAACAGCAGAAAAATCTGGCCAGCTGTCCACCAGGACTGTTTTATCGGTCAGTATTCCTCTCCCCAACAATTTGAAGTGGCTGTAAGCCTTTGAAAGAACATTTCTTATAGGTATAAATTATCCGTCCAATATACTAGGTAGATTATTGGGCAATAGAAAAAGAGTTATAGGAATACGATATACCTGTTAATGTCCTGTCTTCATGCTTATGTATAAAATCTGACAAAATCAAGTTTCAGCAAGTGATTAAAAAAAAAGAACAGCATGTAGAAAACATTCATATATAACCAATAATCATACATACACACAAAGAAACTGGTAAGGCGGTCTCCAATTCCTTCTCTAACTTTTCATACTCTGTTGGGTCTAACACCCGAACCGCCATCTTGTCCGATTATTTTAGACCCGTGACTTTTATCCTGGATACAGTAGTATCTAAGCTCCCTGTCATTTACGTTCTAATACAAAACTCATTCGGTTCGTACATGTACAATATATATGTGTGAATGTCTCGTTATAGGAATCAAATTCACAAGTTGAATAAGTTATCGATTCTTAGATGAGGAAGTGAATAGTCTGAGTCTTCTTTGCAGTTTTATTATTTATGATACTGCATAAGATATGTACCATTAATTTGCATAATGAGAAAAGGCCGTGAATACGACATCAAACAAATGGCCCTACTTCTTGCATTTAATGAATTTTAATCTCGATTATTAAAAGTCACAAAATTTGACACACTCACTTTAATGTTACATTTTCAGTAATTTGTTCCTCAGATTGATTCATCGATATTGATAAGTCACTAATTACTAGTGATGATTTAGCATGTAAAATCTTGATTTCATATGGTGGCCCCACGCTACCCCTGGTCATGATTTGACACTACATTACCAGGATGCTTCCATAGCAAGGTTTTTTCTACACTTTCTTATGTAAATCGTGATGTCCCATTATAACTCAACCCATCCCTCGGGGATCATTATTTTAACAGATTTGAATCTATCTGAGAATGTCCTCATATCGATGAAGGATATGGCGATAACGAACAGTATTCAAGATCAAAGTCCATAAAACAATACAACATAAGAGCAAAGCAAACACGGACCTCCAAAACATCAGAGGTGGGATCAGGTGCCATGGAGGAGTGAGCATCCACTGTCGACCGGTCACACCCGCCGTGTGATCCTTGCGTCATGATCGGGAAATAACGAAAAAATCAATTCAGTGTATAAATAATGGACTAACAATTAGTATGAAAAACGTCAGTCAGCATTTGACTCAATGATAAATTGTATTTGCTGACAAGGTCAATGTATCGACCGTAGAACTTACGAAATGATGACTTTAAACGATTGAGACTGCTGATATTCTTGTTTCATCAACTTGCTTGTCAATAATTTACCTCGTTTTAGAAATTGTTCATACGTAGAACATGCTCTTGCGTATCGAATCAACTGAGATATATAAATTCCGTGTGCAGGTGATGAAGGTATATTGCTGCATAAGTAAGGGAAGTTGACGATAGAAAAGTTAAAGTCATCACGTTTATCATAGAGATTGGTTGTAAGATTACCATTAATGCCTTTTTCGAGTAAAATATCCAAGTATGATACAGTTGCGTCAGACTCCGTGGTATCTTTTATCTCAAGCTCACCAGGATATATCGTATCGACATAGGAATGGAAATTACCATTGTTTATTGACAATACGTCGTCGATATATCTAAATGTCGAGTTGAAGGTCACAGCAAGTGTTTTTTTTCACGCATAAGATTTTGCACAGACTCTGTTTCATATGAATACAATTATAGGTCTGCTAATAACGGAGCGCAAATGGTACCCATGGGAATTCCATTAGATGGTTAGAAGATCTGGTCTCCAAAACCACATAGATATTGTCAGTCAGAAACTCAAGCATCTTTTTGATGTCAACTTCAGAGTACTTGTGTGTGCAATCGTGCAAAATGTGTTTTATCAAAAAAAAATTTGCAAATGACCAATGGCCAGGTAAGTAAATTTACGTGTTCCATTTTTATTGAAAAAGCAGCCATCAATGATAGCAAAAAAGCCTGGACTTTAATTTATCGTGGGGAATTGTTGTGTATAAAGTTGAAAAGTCGTAAGTTTTTAAGCTGTTGATTTTGGTAAAATTTTGTGAATTGTCCAAAAGTTGTAAGAATTTGGTATCTATTCTCATTTAATGATATCATCAATTAATTTTGTCCAATTCAGAACACAGTAGATGATTTCATCTAATCGCAAACGTGATGTATCATCAATTTAAAAGTGATAAGATGATATGAATTAATACCCAAACACTATATGGGGGTAGGGTATTTGTATGCTTGTTTTTCCATTGTGTTATCGTACTTATGTATAACTTTGAAATTCTTTCTTGTTCAGCATCATTCACGGTTGTTTATAACAAGAAAACTTTGTACAAGAGATCTTCGTCCACGGAGGCCGTCTGTCCGTTAACACTTCATGATTGCAATTTCATCACTCTTTTAATAAACAACAATTGAAATCACATGTTTGCTGCATCTACTGCTATAGAAATATTCCAAAAACACCTTTGACATGAAGAGATGTGCAAAAACCATTGACAAGAGACGATTTGGGAATGTGCTAATGTCATTCTTCTCTAGAACGGTGACTTTCATGCAGTACAGATAGCCAAAGTATAACAGGTGAGACATCACAGTAACTTTGTTTCAAAGAGGAAAAAACGCGCACTTAGCATCCCATGTTTGTAGCAGATGCTGAAACCTTTATAGATCACACCAAGCAAACAAATCAATTTCTGCCGTGGATTCAGTATTCGTTATAATCTGCTTCACTTTGAAGTCAGACTGTGTCATCACGGGATATCGTCAGCTTCCCGATCCTCAGATTTCCAATGAGGAGCCATGCTGTACCACTGGCGCACGGCCTCCATTAATCTAAAGCTTGCCTTGGTCTCCCTGACCCTCGCCTTAATTTTGTTTATTGTCGGATTTAGTTCGATTTACTGGTTACAGATAGAGAGACCTGAGGAGAATTACCTAGATAGTTATGGACTCTGGATACATTACAGGTGTGAGGACCCCCGGGGATGTCATGAAGATCCGATGAACTCTGTTTACCTGGGTAATAAGGAATGGACAGGTGAGATATTATTACATATTAAAATGGGTAAATTTGTAAGCAACTAACTTAGTTACACAGAGTGCACTCAAAAAAGGAATGGACAGGTGAGATACTAAGATACTGTTTACCTGGCCAATACTAGTATTCAAAGTACGGATGAGATAATATTACATAAACTGAGTAAAAATCGTAAGCCACTAACTTAGTTACACATAATGCATTGAAAGAAGTACAGGATTGACATGTCTATCTGTTGGAATAATTATGTTAATTTTCTAAAATAAAAATTATCATTAACCTGCTGCGTTCTATGAGTCCTTCATTCATTACGGCGAGGTAAAACCTATTCAAAGGCTTTATTCCTCATCAGGTTTATTCTTGCTGAAATTGTTCAAAATAATGTCATATGTTCTTACAATGAATCAAGGCGGAAGTCATAGGTTAAGTAAGTTGAGTGGAAAATATTATAATAGTTTATAATTACAGTAATGTAAATAAGTACACATTCTAATTAGGGTCGATATATTAAACGTGAAATAAAAATTTACATGAGTTATAAATGTAAAGCTTTTCACCAAGTTATTAATTAATTGTCCCTTAAAATCTACTTGAAATTGCGTGAGCAAATACCAATATTTTGTCAAGTGATCAACCTGTTGTTTTGTACAGCAAATTAATAGAGCTAGGTTGTTGGATAAAAAAACAAATAACCATGAAAAAACAGTCAAACTATATATTTAGATGTGAATGGATTAATAATATTCTTTTAAATGAAAACTGTGGATCTCGTAATTGACTTACTATAGTATCAAAAATGTTCCTAGTTATGTAAATTTATATTTTATGAGATTTAATTAAAAATCTAGCCAATACAAGTTGCAATTCCAGTAGAGATTAATCCTGTTATTATTGATTTTCCTTTGATTTCCTTCAGTGTCGTCAATACTGTGACTGAACCGTGAAATTCATAATTCAGTAGTGTGTACAATACGGTTAATGATAGCCGTTAATTGAATTCAGTATTCCAGAAATATTCCTGTTACAGTTTACTGTAAGACTGACTACATGTACTAAATTGTCTTCCTCGTAAAAGTTGATCATGAACACCATTATTCATTTCTGTGATTTTGAAGTTGAAACGCATGTTTTTAATTGTAATTTGCATTGCCTAAATATGGTTGAGGTTTAAAACCCTGCAATGAAAAAAATAATGATGGTAAACATAGGCGTCGGAACCGGGGGGGGGGGGGGGGGGGGCTACTGTATTTTAGATACAGAATAGTTGGCAAATACACCCCCCCCCCCCCACTTTTTTTCCAAATATATACTTAGTATAGACATTGAACATATCTTCGTAAGTTTAGCCCCCCCACTTTCCACAGATACGTCTTAGTATAGGTTAAAAATGGGGAAAGTGGTGGTGTTTGGAAGAAAATTTTTGGTACTGGAGTTCGAACCTACACCACCACCACCCCCCTTTTTTTTTGCTTGTCAGTTTTTTTTTTTTTTGGAGGTACAAAAATTTTTTTTTTTACACTTAGCCCCCCCAGTTTCAATTGGCTTCCGACGCCAATGTAAAAATTTACAACAGATAATATGAATATGAATTCAAAATGCTGTTAACATTGTTAAGGATTGAAGTTACAAAAATAGGTTACAAAGGTTGCAAAAGATCCAATTCATTCAAAGCTACAAACTTTTAAAAAGTTAAGAAGTACATATAAAAAATAATATCAGACAAGCATTTGTTTCCAATATCTTTTACTTTACGTTCAACCAGATAATGCCTTGCTTAAAAGATTTTCTGATCAGAACTAACAATCGATCAAATGACGTATGTCCTGTAATTCTTGTGCATCCTGCTGTAAGGAAAAGTACAGAATTCAAAATACACACACGTTTAGCCTTAATCATGTTAATTACTATCTTGTTTATGTTTTGATATGCACAAGTTGTGGCTCCATCCTGTTGCTTTAAAACAGTCTGGCCGCATTCTCGATGTGTAGTGCTCACTCCAATAGACTTCTTATTGTGGGATGTACATTTCTCGCCATCAGCTTCACTTCCGCCTTGGTCGGCATCATGACTTCCGCCTGGGCAGTACACACGTACTCGGATGGACACGGTTTCTCCAGGTCGGTTTCCTACGGACTCTGGTATTTTCGGCGGTGTGGAGGATTCCGGATTAGTAAGGAGTGCACCAAAGGCGAACTTGTACAGAAGGATATCCAATATTTTGGTCCTGAAGGTGGTATTTTTAATGCAATACACAGTAGTTAAGTTATTTTGAGCATTATGAGGTGATAACTTCCTTACATTTTCTGATTTCTGTATTTGTTCTATTTCTGGAAACTGTTTTTTGACACGTGAGTGACTCATGCAATCAATAACAATAAGCTCTGTACTCACTTGTATTCCGCCTGTATTATTGCGCGAGAGGATTGCGGCAATATTTTGTCTTATAAACGACAAGAGTGATATCCTTACGCTCAAAATAAAGCTGATCAAACCTACTTAATACAATTTATATTGAAAGATTTCTTAATAAGTTAAAGATCTATGACATTCCTCTATAATGAGATATACTTAGTCATCACAACATATCCATAGATACGGAAGCGTATTAGTGGCAGGTATAATTTTTAAGTTAGTATTTCCAACTTGAAAGTACGTCTGTTTAGTTGGTAATTCCAAAGCTAAAGTTCGTTTTTTCTACCTTCAACCGTGACTTTTAAAGTTTAAATTTGGTAATTCTGACTTTTAAAAATTATAATTTTTTAGTTTTTTACTAATTTTGTACAATTATAAAGTTGAGAATAATATTAAAACAAAGCAAAAGAGCTACATGCAAGGAAAAGGTTATTAAAACAAGAGGCCTATGGGCAACATCGCTCACCTGAGCACTCTAGATTGGAAAAAAGCAGATATCAGTTTATTATTGAAAAGTTTAAACCCAAAAGTGGTCTCAACCAATCCTTGAAGGGGAGAGGGTATGAATTAAACAAACTTGAATCTACACTAACTAAGGATACTTATTTCTTTGACTACCTGTAGAATGCTTCCATATGCATATGACTTATTATGGCTTTGCCATTCTTGAAAAGAAGATTTTTATTACAGAATTTTCCTATATATTTCTATGTAAAACTTGGATTCTATGTTATGGCCCCGCCATACCCCATGGGGCCATGATTTGAATAAACTTGAATCTACACTACCTGAAGATGCTTCCATATAAATATGACTAGTCATGGCTTTGCTATTCTTGAGAAGAAGATTTTTATTAAGAATTTTCCTATATATTTCTATGTAAAACTCTGATCGGCCATTGTGGCCCCGCCCTACCCTAAATATGACTAGTCATGGCTTTGCTATTCTTGAGAAGCTTTGCTATTCTTGAGAAGATTTTTATTAAGAATTTTCCTATATATTTCTATGTAAAACTTTGATCGGCCATTGTGGCCCTGCCCTACCCCATGGGGTCATGATTTGAACAAACCTGAATCTACTCTACTTGAGGATGTTTCCATATAAATATTATCATTCCTGCCTTTAATATTCTAGAAAAGAATATTTTTAGAGAATTCTCTGTATATTTCTATGGAAAACTTTGATCGGCCATTGTAGCCCCGCCCTACCCCCGGGGGTCATAATTTGAACAAATCTGAATCTACACTACCTGAGGATGTTTACATATAAATATGATCATTCATGTCTTTGCTATTCTTGAAAGGAAGATTTTTAAAGAATTTCCCTATAAATTTCTATATAAAAATTTGATCCGCCATTGAAGCCCCGTCCTACCCCCAGGGGTCTTGATTTGAACAAACCTGAATCTACATTTTGTAGATTTGAATGAACAAACTTAAGTCTACTTTACCTGAGGATGCTTCCCTATAAGTTTCATCTTTCCTGGCATAGTGGTTCTTGAGAAGAAGATTTTTAATGTGAAAAGTTTACGACAACGACGACGACAGACAACGGACAAATTTTGATCAAAAAAGCTCACTTGAGCCTTCGGCTCAGGTGAGTTAAAAAGAGATGAAATTAAAGTTCATGAAACACAAACTTGAAAGATTGAAAAGTCAACTTTAAAAAAGAAAAGCCAAAGTAAAATTGGAAATGCCAACTTTCATGTTGGTTTTCCTACTTTAAAGTTGCAATTGTCCATTTGAAATGGAATAACCAAAGTAAAATATAAATATAAAAATACGGCACTTATTTGTTTGACGTACCTTATTGCATGATGTTACCTTACTTAAACTGATTCCATGTTTTTGAGTGTGGGGTGGAGAATCTAATGCGGTACTGCAGGGCAGAAGTGTAATATCTTTGTTAGATTGTGTTATAACTTTTTTGCATTATCATAATACAAGGTCACAATATCGGGACAGAATCGCCTTGTCTTTCTATCTCATGCATCTTTAAAAATGTCATTAAGAATGACTGATAACTATAGTAGTAAAGAGATGTTCAATACAAAATGCTAAATGCTAAAACGTTAATATTACATATTCTAATTTTATTGCCAATTTAAACTTTAAAATGTCATTAAGAATGACTGATAACTATAGTAGTAAAGAGATGTTCAATACAAAATGCTAAATGCTAAAACGTTAACATTACATATTCTAATTTAATTGCCAATTTAAACACAAATCAGAACGTTACAGAGTTGGCTTTTGTCTAAGATGGTCATAAGATATCTGGCGAGCGTCGTGGATCACGGGTCTTATGCCTTTGGATAACCACTGACTCTGTAGCGAAATAGACTTCCTCTTAAGCAATATCATGAGAGAGAGGGAAAGTTGGCAAAGATAAAGTGTTTACAGATCAAAAATAAATTACGCTTCTGGCAAAAGCTTTTACACAATAGTTAATGTTTCCTGGGGTGCACTCTTCTGAAAGAACGGGAAATAACAACAGGAGCTTTCCCCACTGTAGAGCCTCCCTGATAATTGACGTGTGCATGTGGAAGAGAAAGAGAAGGTAGCTGTAATTAATACCTCTGTGAGAGACCGTGAATCGGGAGGCTAATCCGAGAACAGGGAGCCAAAAATTTCCTCCTCAAATATTTAATTGAAATTGCTTCAGAAGTGAGGGTGAAGGGAGGCGAGTGAGAATGAAGCGCTAAATTAAGTTCACACCTGACTCTCGTCTGCTGATTGTTTATGTTCTTGATTTATAATCCGGGAGATGCACACCTTTATACAGAAGTCGAACCTGATGATATACAATGTGAATTCCTAGCTCGGGAATGGAAAATATTTGTTTCCGAAGATAAAAATACCATCAAAGTCTTGTAGAATTCCGACTGTCAGTTTGAAAAAAAATCCTCCTGCAGAAATTGAATTTGTTTTTACTGTCACCATGCTTTTTAACACAAATTGCGTTTTTTTGGTAAAGATTTTCTGTTAGACTGACCAGGTTTCAGATTTGTTTTTATTGGAGCTAATTAAGTGTTTTTGTGAATTTTTCTGGACGCTATGTTTTCTAGATGGAGAGAGACTACCCTCTATATGAGGCTAGCTTTCGTCAGTTTTGTTCTGGGTTTTATTTTGTATGTGATCGGATTTTCTACCTTCTACTGGGAGTATCTCCAAACAACGAAAACTTCAACTAAAGTCGTAGGTCTGTGGAAGTACCTGCTGGAGTATAAATACACCAATAATGTCCAGGAAGCGAGGGATTACCTCAGTCGTGCACAAATACCCAAACATTTCTTTAACTCTGGTAAGTTTGATTAGCAAGGAATTACAAATGACACGAAAAGGCTGTCACTTAATTAAAAAAACGACATGCATTGAACATATGGATTTCATCTTAAATTTGCTGGAGATTTCAGAAACAAAAACAAAAGAATGCTGAAAACTAAAAATTAGCATTGACAGATATATTTGAGTACCGCAATATCTCGTGCGTTGAAAGTTATTGCTTTGCAGGCTCTATATAACCAAGCAGCATTGGAAATGACAGATTCCGAGCAGAGCCTAAATAATTCTTTGATTTTATCAAACTTGATTAAGTTTTATTAAAGAAGAAAAAGTATTCAGAGATAAGAATATGACCCTGTAGTGAAGTACAATGTTTTCGCGTAACCAAAGATTGCTTCAAAGTGGTATAAATATAGAAAGGAATTGGATGCTTTCGCGTTGAGAATTGTAATTGACGTCTATTTATGTCAGTGACTAAGAGAAATAGCTCATTCTCTTAATACAAGTATCACGGCAATAATGTCTACAATACTTTGGTTGTCAGAACGTTATTCATATCGTTGGCTCTTTGATTTGGCTGACAGTCAAATCTTGCAGAAAGTGGACAATGAGAGTGTTTTTAATTCTTGAAATTGTTTCCATCAATCGAAAGTTCCAAAATTATTTTAAAGAAGAATTATTGTTTTCATTAAAATTAAGAAGAAAATATATTTGTACAGGATATGCTTATAAGTAATGATGCGTTTCCAGCGATTCAATATTTTAGACATTCATTTTGGTTATCATTGACAGCTAAGGAAATACATACCAATATTAGGTGGTTAAATGATTGGTTAATAGGAGAAGCAAACCGATTACAGGAAAATGGAATTAATGGAAGAGGATGACTAACAATACTATCATCTCACTCCATACAAAAAATACTTCAACACAATTTAAAAATCGCCAAAGGTTTCCGGGAAAGCTACTGAAAGATTCTTGCAAACGACGTTATACACTATTTCTTTGGTAGTAATGAAATCGTTTTGTCGTCTTATCAACAAAAGTCGATTCGATTTTTATTTGCATCTCAGTAATTGCTTTTTTGGCGAGCATTACATTTCACTAGAGAGAATCCCAAAATATGCCTTGTTAGCACGCGTTAATGAGTTCTCCGTAGCCTTCATAGCAGGGGTTTTATTCGAGCTCCACGGATTCTGTAACTTTTCATTCAGAAAAGACGTTGCCATACGTTTGCAAAATTAGTGCAATAAAAACTGTAAGATTGTGTACTTCTGTCGTTTTCATTTGATTTGTAATTTTTTTTTTCTTTCCATAGAAACACTATTGAATATTTTGTTACCAATAAAAACATCCTTATTTAATTGCAGCAGTGAATATTTGCAATTATGCTCACTCATTCATCTACTGGCACTGACAATTTTAGAGGAATCTAAAACCTCACATATGAGTTGCATCAGATCGCGATAAACACGGCAGCTGAGCAATTGTTTAGGGAGCAAAACCTCATCACTACCTGTCAGCGCAATAATTAACACGGGTCCCCGTTACACAGGTAGATGTTCGGAGTGACGTAAGCTTTGGAATTCTGAGAATGTAGAAAGCTTTGGTTAACTTTTACATTCTGGGCAAATTGAGGAAAACAGCATAATTTACAATGTAAACAAATACATGCATAATAACTAAGGTTTTTGTCCGATTAATGCTTTGTTTGCATGCCAATTTATAATCTGGTATTCAATCATTGCAGACACTGTCACAGTAGAAGATACTTTCCGCATTCAACTTCATTTTTATTTTTTATTGATATAATAATAATTATTAAAAATTCCAGTATCGTAATTTTCCAAGAATATGCCTTAAAATGTCCAGGTATACCTGTACCTCATTCTTATCTCAGATCAAATCTTTTTTTCATCAATATTTTCAACCTGGGTCCTCTCTGTAACTTTTGTAAATATTTTATGGTTTTATACAGAATGATTTTTATTGTTTTACAGGCTAGTTACGTTTGACACAATTTGTTGAATACTTACGTTTGCAATAACGTTTTACGTTCTATTTTTACAGACCGGTTCCGTCTGACACAAGTTTTGGAATGCCTCGGTTTGATGTATAATTGTTATATTTTACAGGCTGTTTTCGTCTGACACAAGATGTGGAATGCCTCGGTTTTCTATGTAATTGTTACATTTTACAGGCTGGTTTCGTCTGACACAAGCTGTGGAATGCCTCAGTTTGATGTATAATTGTTATATTTTACAGGCTGTTTTCGTCTGACACAAGCTGTAGAATGCCTCGGTTTTCTATGTAATTGTTACATTTTACAGGCTGGTTTCGTCTGACACAAGCTGTGGAATGCCTCAGTTTGATGTATAATTGTTATATTTTACAGGCTGTTTTCGTCTGACACAAGCTGTAGAATGCCTCGGTTTTCTATGTAATTGTTACATTTTACAGGCTGGTTTCGTCTGACACAAGCTGTGGAATGCCTCAGTTTGATGTATAATTGTTATATTTTACAGACTGGCTGAGTGTCTCGGTTATATATTTGTAACTGTTTTTTTACAGACCGGTTCCGTCTGACACAAGCTGTGGAATGCCTCGGTTTGATGTATAATTGTTATATTTTACAGGCTGGTTTCGTCTGACACAAGCTGTGGAATGCCTCGGTTTTCTATGTTATTGTTATATTTCGTCTGACACAAGCTGTGGAATGCCTCGGTTTGATGTATAATTGTTATATTTTACAGGCTGTTTTTGTCTGACACAAGCTGTGGAATGCCTCGGTTTTCTATGTTATTGTTATACTTTACAGGCTGGTTTCGTCTGACACAAGCTGTGGAATGCCTCGGTTTGATATGTATGGTTGTAGCCCTTTTGATACTTCTCTTGTACTTCTTCGTGTCTTCGTGTAAACAGAGGAAAGCTCTTTATGCCATTATCTTATTCACATTTCTGTCAGGTGAGAAACATTACTGGCATCTTATTTAGTAATTCCTTCCAATGTTATTTTTGTAAATGAATTTGTTGAAACTTCTTCAATGTTTTAGAGATACGAATTGTACCCACAATCTCTACCTCATGTACAAACCTTACACGGGTCAGTACCGGGTAGTAAGGCGAGGACTCCATTTGCACGTTTGGTGCGATTATGATAAAACTTATTATTGCTTGCATCATGATGTAAATTTTGAATTAACTATAGGTGCAAGTAAATGCAAAATACGTGACGTAATTATCAAGCTGTAATTTTGCATTTACCTCTACGAAGTAAATTCAAAATTACAATATGATACGTGCACCAATTAACCTGAAGTTCTTAAGCTCGCTGGTCTGAATGTTTGAGACGGTCGACCAGAAAGTTACAAGGCCACCATTGACAAAAGTATTGATTCATTGCAGCCAAAAACGCGTGCTGTTTCACGACTTATTTCAGGGTGTATTTCAAAATATAAGAATATTTTTGATTTTATATTGCATCTTGTTTAATTTTTTTCAGTTTTATTTATCGTTATTGGCATTGCTGTTTTTGGCGGGAAGATGGATAAGATGGGCTACTCTGTCGGCTGGTCAATGGGACTCGCCATTGCTGGCGCCATATTGGCATTTTTTGCAGGGATAATGGAAGTTTTAGAACTTCGATAGCTTTTCTTTCTTTCAACGATTTTTGTGCCAAAGTATGGATAAGGGAAGCTTCCCTTTGTGAGAAATCAGATCCAAACCATTCATTTTAGACTCTGCAGACGTCTTTTGAGTCGTCATTACCAGCAAAACTTCCCTAAATATTATTTATTTTACTGTATTTAAATACTTCATTGTGCATTTGAATGTACACTGATAAGAATGCACATGTTTATTTGTATTACGCTCTGTATGTGTTTTGTATGTTGTAAAGTCGCAGTTTTGAGATAACTTAATAATTATGTATATAGAAAATATTATCATATAATATTTTTTTTTAATTCAATTTGTTATTTATTTATTATAGTAATATATTTACAGAAAAAAAAACATCAAGTACCCAAATCTCCGCATTTTTTAACCAAGTGTTCAGAACAGTGGCGTTAAAATAAAAGCAAACAACTTGGCAGGTTCATTTGTTTTATTTTGATCACAAATAATTACTTGTGGATGATGTAGCTGAACAAACACAATGGGGTCAATAAACAAGGTTCTTCAGTTCGAAGAACCATTTTTCAGCAGAATAAAATTATAAATATATATCGTGCTTTTACTAGTTATTCCTTGGTCTTTTAATTTCACAACCATATACATAGTATATCACAACCACGTTTATATATGGAGACTTGGGATAGCTGTAGATGACGGTTGATTGCTGACTTGTTGGAGGAAGCTTCTACTTGTAAAATAATCAGACTACAGTTCTGTTTGTCAAGTCAGCTGTTTATCAGCTGATCATGACGTCAGCTGTTTGTCAACTGTCTTTCTTTTCATCCAGAGCTCGTCTCATCTCTAAAGATTTGATCTTAAGATCCTGAAGCTGCACAACTTCTTTCAGCTACAAGAAACAACGACATCAAATGAAATCATTCTCCTCAGACCCATGAATTAATGTCATTAAATAAAATGTAGATGACTTTTTTTAAGTTTTGGAATAATACCGCATTGATGTATAATTGATAGAAACCATCATTTCTTGTATTAACTTCAAATCGGCATTCAGGCTTAAGAATTCCATGATTCAAGGAGAATCAATTGATAATTTCAAGGCTTTTCAGAATACAGTAAGTAAATGAAAAACAAAGTACATTGTGACATGTGAGACCCACTTCATCAGTCAGATTCATTACACACCCATCCATCACCGACCTGACATCTGGAATCACGCCAGTAGGCATACAAACAATGTACGAGGTCCCCTGTTTTTGTTAATCCGATTGCTAGGAATAGTATTGACTTTTATTACCATTTTGTTTTCCGCCTCCAGGAGATGAATTCTTTCATTCAGGTTCTTGATGATGTTATCCTGACTTCCGTTCTACAATAGGAAACACGCATTGCCTTAATTCCAACAATATTTGACAATAATGAATAAGTCTTAACATTTTAATATAATAACTCATTACTTTTTTGAGTCGGTAAAGAGCACTCTCTGATCGGAAGGTCGTGAGTTCGAATCTTTGTCGCGACTGACCGAAATTGATAAAAAATGGGAAACTGTTCTTTCGCCATGCCCTCGGCACTTTGAAGTGAAAGTAGCGGGTGCGGGTCTTACCCTTTCACGGCAGGCGTTATCACGATAAAGATCCCTTACTGCTCAATGGCCTGAGTGTCAAGTAAAGGTCAAACTTTGAAGCCATTCCTCGTTATATATGACGTATCTATATGACGTATCTATATGAGTGAAAGAATGGAACGTAAAACAACACACAATCAATCAATCATTACCTTTTTGAGATGAGCGTTTGGTGTATTGGATGGAGATTTGGAGACCTCCTCCCCTAATATTGGACGGACTACACTCGGTACAGGAGGGGGCAGTAAAGGTTAGCCAGGGGGGTAGGACTAAGCAGGGCCGGGGCTTTAGGTTGACTACTCCCCGGCATAGGGATAAAATCGTCATCCAGCTCCTGAAACACGAACGTCATACTCCCATAACAGACAATTAAAATACAAATAACCAAAGGGTGTATGTGAAAAGAAGTGAATCTGACCGCTTTAAGCCAGTCCGGGACTTGCGTGTCTTCCTCTGGAATCGTGGCACTTCTACCAGCCGATCTTGGTCTGTCGCCAGAACGTGGTCGGTCGTAAGATTCAGCAGAACTGGGCCGATCCTGACAAAATTTAACCCCCCAAAATAAGAGTTTTAGGCTTTAAAGGTACAATTGGTAAATTAATGAAATTATAAGTAGTCTCACCGCTGTATCTGGAGTTTGTGGATTTCCGGAATCACTCATTCCGTCGGACTCCGACACCGGTTCACTGGAAGAGATGTCCTCACTTCCGATTCCGTCCGAGACAAACGCACTGTCCTCTTCCTGAACTAGTTGTGGAATCACCACTGAATGGAGAAAGTCAACGAAATATCCATATCAGCGATAGTAAAAATCACATTAAGCGCTCCTCCCAAGAATTAATTCATCATGTTAATATTTATTAAAAAAAAATGTTTTCAACAGTTATTCCATCTCAACAGTCAGAATCTATTTCATATCTGTGTGTGCGTACAGAATCTTTATTTGGAGGATTTGATTAGATTCTCTTCTTTAAATACAAACAAAAGATCACCGGCTACCACCTTACACAAACACGAAGATACATCAGCACGTAAATTAATTGTTGATTAGTTTTGGAAGCGTTTCATAAATTAATAAAAATTGATAGGAGTAATGAAGATTACTTGGTATAAATTATGGAATGCCGATAAGTTGTCTGGTCAAACAAATACACATTGCAACATTCTCTTTTTAACAGATAAAAAGGGGCTACCTTTGCAAATTATTTTCTTAATTGATAAAAGTGTGCATTCTGATACAGTTATTTGGCCAGTTCCGAATAAGAAACCGATTCGACGGTGCTATAAATATACTAGGAATTATATCAAAGTCCAAGTGTTTTGTCAAGGTAGTTCGATGACTTGTGGAATTAAATATTGTTTCATAAAAGTTCAGACATCCCTCAAAAAAAATTATGTCGCAACTTGCCATAGGTGTCCATTTTACCAGTTACGAATAACCCGACGGGTTTCGGATACCCTTATAGATTCTTATTCAATTCAACCCTAAATTAACAAATATACATCCCAGACGTTATCCATTGGCATGACTAAGAAAAGTTAAATTAATTGCTTACCAATAAATTATATGTATTTCCACAGGTTGAAGAGAAACTAGAGGTACTGTGGGCACTGAGCTCATTTTAATGAAACCCCACACCTCCTTTATGATTATTTAAGACAAACTCCATGTTTTACTCTGGGAGACCCGAAATAAATGTCAGATCAAAAAGTAAAATAAAAGGTCACAATGCAATAAAGAATACGTGAAAGTATCATTAAATCTTATTCAGTGGTATAGGAGGAATTGCGTATAAGAGAAGGATATACCTTTCAATATTACAAAGAATGGCAGTATCTATGTTTTTCTCAGGGAGCCCAAATTATGTACCAGATCCAAAAAATAAAATAGGTGCACTTTGGCACTGTTAAACAAAGATTCTGTGAAAGACTCATTAAATTCTGTGAAGCGTCATTCAACTTTATTCAGTGGTAGAAGAGGGGTTGCGGATAAGAAATGAATACACCAGAGCATACATGTATCAGACAGACGGACGTACAACTAGACGGACGTACGGGCTGCATACGGCTGGATGGACAAACATCCCATTACTTTATACCCTTTCTTCCTGTTTTTCAAGCGGGGGTATAATAAGTCACGTTTACAATGAAAAAAACATCGAAGAAGGAATTTATAAAAGTGTTTAAAATGGGTATTCGGAACTGGTAAAATAAGAACACGAAAATATTTCGATATATTCCAGTGTTCTAAATATTTATTTTTGACGAATTTTTAGTATATATTAGAGTACATATCAAACTTACTTTTGATACCTGGAACGTTGTTTTATGTTAAAAATGTATGTATCTATGGAGGTTTTTCTGCAGACTTACGCGTCGCGGTGATTCAGATTTGTTGCATTGTAAAAGTATGTCAACTGTTTCAAGTACGATAACGATACCAAACTGAGGGCAAAAAATCAAAACTTCACATAATTCAAACACTCATAGATAAGCCTTCTTACCATAGAAATCAATTTATTTTTACACCGTTGAATTTATTATTTATCAGTCCTTAAATTACTTATTATTCGGAACTGGCCAAAATCCGGAACTGGCCAAACGACTGTATTTGTTTTATACATAATACAGTAAAACTGAAATTAAATTGGTATTAAGTATTGTGTCGTGTACTGGATGTGTCCATGCAACAAAGTAAAGGATAACACTCATCCACAATTTGGTTATAACGGTATTATTCCATCACAAAAATACCGGTAGCTAATGTTTATTTTTTTGTATTATGAAAATCTGGGGTTTCGTGCCGTAAAAATTTGTATAATTCGAGAAAATAATATTTCTCCATTGTTTTCTAAATTGAACAAACACGGAATTGCTGGAAAACTACCCTGACAAAGGTTTACTTAAAATTTATTTCTAATATCATTCCCACTCCAGAAACAAAATAATATTCACAAAGGTCAAAACATAGACCTAATTAAGTCTATGGTCAAAATCAACACAGATTTTTGCATACAAAATGTACATTTTTCGAAACGAACCACATATTAGTAAATGACTCAAGACGTTCGTAATTCCGGGGTCTGAGACTATGTGTTGACCTTGTATGACTTTCATATTTCACATATGTATTCCTTGGGACAAGACCTTTCTTTGGGTATCACCAAAGCATTAACCTTGGAGTTTGACATACTTTTACACAAAAATTCAAACTTTTACTTTAAATTTGCAATAACTTTTGAATGGTATATACATCATACTTAACATTTATATTCTTTTTGACAAGATATTCCATTGGCTACCAACAATTTTGATCTTTTGACTTTAATGATTTAAGGTAAGGGCTAGGACTTTCATACTTCACATATGTAATCTCTGTGAGAGACCTTTCATTGGATATCAAGAACTTTGACCATTGACCTTGATCTTGGAGTTTGACCTTCTTTTTTAAAAAAAAAACTTTGACCATAACTTTTGAAGGGTTAGGGCTTGGGCTTTCATACTTCACATATTTAATCCTTGTGACAATTTGACTTTTCATTAGATACAAATGACTCTGACCCATTGACCTTGGAGTTTGACCTACTTTTTAAAAACTTTAACCTTGGCCATAACTTTTGAACAGTTATGGTTAGGGCTTTCATATTTTCACATATATAAACCTTGTGACAAGACCTTTCTTTCGAAACCAACAATTTTGACCCTTTGACTTTGACCTGGGAGTTTGACCTACTTTTCAAAAACTTATCCTTGGCCATAGCTTTTGAACAGGTGGTGCTATGGCTTTCATATTTCACAATTGTATTTCTTATGAGAAGACATTATTTGGGT